TACGATTTAAACGTCTCGGGTATGATTGATGTTCAAAGTCTTTCAGCGTAACCAATCCGAATATGTATTATCAATATTACCGTGACGTCAAGCTGCATATAAGCATTTTTGTTCTCATAAATCTTCAGTAGCCAGTCAGAAAATTGGCCAAATTCCAGTTCAAGTCAATACAAGAACCTATATGACAAGCACTGGAATCGTTTTGTCTACTCTGTTTCTAGATGCGATTCTGATTGAAGTATAATGAAAATGGCACAAGGTACAGTTTTTATACGACCGCAAAAAAATTTTGTGGTCGTATATTGGTATGACGTTGGCGTCGTCGTCGTCGTCCGGCGTCGTCGTCCGGCGTCGTCGTCCGAATACACAATGGTTTTCGCACTCTAACTTTAGTTTAAGTGAATGGATCTCTATGAAATTTTACCATAAGGTTCAATACCACAATAGGAAGGTGGGGATTGATTTTGGGGGTTATGGTACCAACAGTTAAATAATTAGGGGCCAAAAAGGGGCCGAAAATAAGCATTTTTGTAACTTCCAGACATAACTTGTGTGTTATTGTATGGATCTCTTTGACATTGTACTACAAGATTCCATATCACAAAGGGTCGATGATGGGATTGATTTTGGGGTTAATTTCCTCGAAATTTTAGGAATAAGGGGCCAAAAGGGGGCAAAAAACAAGCATTTTTCTAGTTTCATGACAATAACTTGTGTGTAAGTGTATGGATCTTTCTGAAATTTTACTACAAGGTTTCATTTCGCAAAGGGAAAGCTGGAATTGAGTTTTGTGGTAATTGCCCAAAACGTTTAGTAATAAGGGGCCTAAAAAGGGGTGAAAAATAAGCATTTTTTAGTTTCTAGACAATAACTTGTGTTCAAGTGTATGGATCTCTCTAAAATTGTATTACAAGGTACCATACCACAAAGGCAAGGCTGTTATTGAGCTTGGTTTGGGGGGGGAAGGGGGGGTGATGAATCATAGGGGGGGGGGTCAAAAAAGGGGTAATTATTTTTTTTCGTTTAAGGAATAAGGGGGAAAAAGGTTAAAAAACTAGGGTTTCCATTTTAATAGACAAATAATTGAGTAAAGAACATTATTTAAAAAGCAGTGTAAGGTTGGTAGTTCAAACTCATTTAAATATCTCACCTGCACTATGTTTGAATTATGTAAATTGGAAATTTGCCAATTATTTTAGTATAATAAACTTCATTGGAAATTTGCCAATATAAAATTTTGCTGATGAAGGTTTTTTGTTTACCTTTAGTCTGACTATGATGTCATTTTCTATTTTAATAGCCTTATGATGTAGTTAAATTTTTTTTAATACTTTTATGATGTATTTTAATGCGCTTTTATGGTTGCAAATTTATTGTTTTAATATAATAAACTCCATTGGAAATTTACCAATAGTTTGTTTATTTTTAGCTATGACTATGATGTCATTTTCTATTTAATTTTAAGGTTACAAATTAATTTCAGTTTTAAATATTATTGTAAAATGTTTGCCCAAAACATTTATTAATAAGTGGCCAAAAAAGGGGGCAAAAATAAGCATTTTTTTAGTTTCCAGACATTAACTTGTGTTCAAGTGTATGGATTTCTCTGAAATTGTACTTAAAGGTACCATACCACAAAGGGAAGTGGGTCAAAAAATTTAGGGGGGGGGGATTTTTTTTCCTATTTTTTTTCTTTAAAATTTTCCATTTTAAGTTGGTTAATTCTGATCACAAAGAGAAAGTTGGAATTGAGTTTGGGGGATAATTGCTCAAATGTTTAGGAATAAGGGGCTAAAAAAGGGGTTAAAAATAAGCATTTTTTTTTAGTTTCCAACAATTAATTGTGTTTAAGTAATTGGATCTCTGTGAAATTGTACTGCAAGGTACCATACCACAAACTGAAGGCTGGGATTGAGTTTGGGGGGGCGTGATGTGTGAAAATTTTCCACTTAAAGTTGGTTAATTATTTCTGATTTAGATATAAAAGCAAATGATAATGATGTGGTTTGATTTTATCAAAAACTTAAATTGAAGTTATGTATATTGTAAATTTAGGTTACATTGGAATTTAAGAATTGGCTTTGGGGTAGGGTTATGGCTCAAACCTTTAAATAATAAGGGGAAAAAAAGGTGAAAAAACAAGGGTTTCCAGGTTAATAGACAAATAAGTACAAAACATTATTTAAAAGCAGTGTAAGGTTGGTAATTCAAACTCATTTAAATATCTCACTTACACTGCTTTTAAATTATGTAAATTGGAAATTTGCCAATAACTTTATTGTTAATAAATGCATTGGAAATTTGCCAACAATTTTAGTATAATAAACTTCATTGGAAATTTGCCAATATAAAATTTTGCTGATGAAGGTTTTTTGTTTACCTTAAGCCTTGACTATGAAGTCATTTTCTATTTTTATAGCCTTATGATGTAGTTGAATTATTTAATACTTTTATGATGTGTTTAAATGGGGTTTTATGGTTGCAAATTTATTGTTTTAGTTTAATAAACTCCATTTAAAATTTGGTAAAAAAAAAAATTTTTGTTTATTTTAAGCTATGATTATGATGTCATTTTCTATTTTACTTTTATGGTTGCAAAGAAATTTTTATTTTTAGATATTACTGTTAAATGATGCTGATTAAGGTTTTTGCTATGTTTAGCCATGACTATGATGTCATTTTCTATTTTAATATCTGTCATGATGTATTTAAATGGGCTTTTATGGTTACAAAGGAATTTTATTTTTAGATATTACTGTAAAATGTTGCTGATTAAGGATTTTGTTTATTTTTAGCCATGACTATGATGTCATTTTCTATTTTAATACCTTTATTATGTAATTTCCATTTTTAGATATTACTGTTAAATGATGCTGATTGAGGGTTTGAATGCTGGGATTGATTTTGGGGGTAATTGCCTCCAAATTTTAGGAATTAGGGGGCAAAAAACAAGCATTTTTCTAGTTTCAGGACAATAACTTGTGTGTAAGTGTATGGATATTTATGAAATTGTACTACAAGGTTCCATATCACAAAGGGAAAGCTGGAATTGAGTTTGGGGGTACTTGCCCAAAACGTTTAGGAATAAGGGGCCAAAAATAAGCATTTTTCTAGTTTCCAGACAATAACTTGTGTTCAAGTGTATGGATCTCTCTGAAATTGTACTGCAAGGTACCATACCACAAAGGGAAGGCTGGGATTGTTTTTGGGGGTAATTGTCTCAAAATGTTAGGAATTAGGGGCCATAAAGGGGCAAAAAAACAAGCATTTTTCTAGTTTCATGACAATAACTTGTGTGTAAGTGTATGGATCTTTATGACATTGTACTGCAAGGTTCCATATCACAAAGGGAAAGCTGGGTTTGAGTTTGGGGGTAATTGCCCTAAACTTTTAGGAATTTGGGGCCAAAAAGGTGCAAAAAACCCAAGCATTTTTCTAGTTTCCAGACAATAATTTGTGTTCAAGTGTATGGATCTCTCTGAAATTGTACTGCAAGGTACCATACCACAAAGGGAAGGCTGGGATTGAGTTTGGGGATGATGAATCATAAGGGGGTTTCAAAAAATTTGGGGGGGGGGATTTTTTTTTCCTTTTTTTTCTTTAAAATTTTCCATTTTAAATTGGTTATTTCTGATTTATATATAAAAGCAAATAATAATGATATGGTTTGAATAGGTAAATTAAAAAATTTTAAGTTCTTAGACTACTTTCATTCTGTGTGAGAAACCTATGCTGTGTCAAATATTTAATTACAATCCAAATTCAGTGCTGTATCAAGCTTGAATGTTGTGTCCATACTTGCCCCAACTGTTCAGGGTTCGACCTCTGCGGTCGTATCAAGCTGCGCCCCAGCGGAGCATTTTATTTGTCAATCCCGTTATATTTCAACATAAAAATCCCGATTTCCCGTGGCTAAAAACGTGGCTTTCCCGCATCCCGATGTTTTTCTATCCCGAATTCCCGATCTTTAAACAAGGCAATCCCGATTTCCTGTTGCTAAAATCGGCCGATCCCGGCGTCCCGAAAATGGTCTGGCCCCCCCTCTAGAATTGAAGGTATGAAAAATGTATAAATGATAAACAGAAATGGCCTTTTCAACTTCATCGCTTGATCAATATCAGACACTAATGCCAGGGCTTTGGGCTGGTATGGGAATCTCTGGGTGACAACCATGCCAATATGGAAGAGTATTTATATGTATTTATACATGATTAATCATTTTAAATCATGTATACATATATGCTTTAATTTTTTCAAATATATGCATATGATGCTTTATGGACAAATTATATGTTACCTGTATAATACATGGGTTCAGCAACCTAACAACACAGGATGACCAAAAATATACAATTAAGAAAATCAGATAACATATATATGGAAAATGAAATGTACATAAGGAGATTACTTATATATAAATACAAATTTGAAATGAATATCTGTTGTTTTTTTTTTTTTGCCTTTACAAAAGTCATTGATGATCATCATTTATCATCTTCATTTTCTTCGTACAATAAAGTATTTCATTTCTCTCACTTCATTTCAGTTTGTTATTCCATTGAGTTTTATTTTGTATAAACAATATAAATAAGTGGATATTTAGAATTGCAGAAAAAATCATTACATGTACATGCATATATACTTGAATATATTTTTATTTTCATCTCTTAGGAGAAATAATTTATAGTTTGCGTTATTGATACAACCATTATCTGCATTGAATGTGCATTAGTGTTATTGCTCCAAAAGTATTTAAAAACTTCTATCTAGTCTATTTACTAGTTGTACTAATACATCATGTACTGGGCTACTTAGGACTTTAATAAATATTTCAAGTGCCAAGTTGGATTATAAATTTTAACAGTTGTCATCAGTAAAGAAAAAATCATGATTTTAATATACATGAAATAAAAAATGATGTTCAAAGAAAAATAAATGAGGCATACATGTATGTTATAATAAATCTAATTAAACTATTGATTTTTTTTTATATGTTACAGAATAAAAGAAGATATTAACTGAAACATCATAATGGCTTCTATAGCTGTAATAGATTCAGCTGTTGTAGATCCATCTCCTATTGTGTCACAGCCATTGACGGTACCAGAAATTGACATCGCCTACGAATCTGATGTATCAGAAGATCTGAACTCCACTGCTTCACACGTCAAAGAAGCTTTTACTAAGTCAGAAAAAGGAAAGCTTCTTAAACGTAGAGAGGTAAAATATTTTATGTACTCATGATATACTTCATTTAATTCAAAGCACAAGGAACCCCTGAGGGTGTTGCCATGAATGATAAAGTAAGAAATTTATTGTCTAGTATATTACTGTAGATGAGATTTCATTAAATGGTTCATATTTTTATGATTTTTTTATGAGCCAAGCCTACATCATTTTGATAGAGGTGAGACATAGCACCCCTATATTCTGTCGGCGGCAGTGGCATCAACATTTAGGTTCAGTCTGTGGTCAATAATTTGTCAAACCTTCATGAAATAGTATGAAACATGGAAGCTTTTTAGTGATCAAAAGACAAAATTTTGATTTGTTTTTCTAGCAATTTTCTGTTTTAAGCTGATAAATGGACTTAATTTTTTTGTCTTATTTTTTGCAGTTTACGTTCAGATACAAATCTAAGGCTAGAGTTTTTCAGACATCAGTTACTTTTTCAAAAATTCATAGAATTTGTTTTATGATTAAATAGATAATATCTGATTCTTGTTTTTACAGTAATTACTCTTTGTGTCACTTTTATGACCAGAAAAGTTTGCAGGTGATTTGTAAAACTGTAAAAATTATGGTCTAAACTTCAATTTTTTTACTGAATTTAATTAAATGAAATATTCAGCAGGTCTGGTTCAGTGCTACTATATATATGCAGACATTTATTGAAAGAAACTGATTTGTCCAGGAAAGATGACCGTTTTGGAAGCCCTGATTTAAATACATAGAGAAAATATGTGTAGAAATATATAACAGCAGTCCAAATATGAAATAAATACTTATTTCAGCTTTTGTATTATGCGCTAATTAATCGCTTTTTAGTTGTTTAAGATCTAGTAAAAAGCATTTTGTGCATATTTAGGACAAGAACAAGTAAATACATCAACTGGTGGTACAAATGTATCTAAAAAGTGGGTGGCCTGGGAGAAAGGGCGAACATTTTTCATTGTCAGTGAATAAAACGGGCATATCAGATTGGGTTAATATATTAATTTATTCTTCTTACATTTTTAACAGAGACATTTTTCTCATGTATCTGACTCAGGAGAAGAGGAAAATGAAATAGAGCACAAAACATCCCGGCTTGACTTCCTAGCTGGGCCATGTAAGGCTGCTGAACATGCAGAGGAGTTTGTAAAACGTGTATGGGAAGCTGGATGGAGGGTTGTAAACCATCATAGTCTACCAGACTGGTTACAAGATAATGACTTTTTACACAAAGGACACAGAGTTCCAACAAATTCATTTAGAGAATGTTTTAAATCCATATTTAGGATTCATACAGAAACTGGAAATATATGGTCCCATTTATTAGGTAATATATATATATATATATATGCAAGTCTAAATTGAAAACAACGTTCAAACCTATGATTGCGTTGGATAAAAACCGCAATTTTTATACGTGTGCATGCAAAACAAATTTCTTGATAGAGGGGTCTAAATACAGCACAAACAACATTTTCCAAAAGACCAAAAAAGTGAAAAAGTATATTTTAACAAAACGCATTTGACTAACAGGTCGAACAACAGATGTTCTTAAACCCTGCTGACTGCCATTGGCGATTGCCAAATAAACGGATCACAAGATGTTACAAAATGGATCTTTTAAAATTTATAAATTTAATACCAAACAAAAAACAATAAACTTGCGGAAAAGATAGTATACCGCAAACAAAAGGTGCAAAAATTAGTACACCATATCTGGATTTCGACAATTAATGTCTCTTCAGTGATGTTTAGATCGAAACGGTATTTGGAAGGCCATATAATTTACCTCAATTTGGGATAGACTCTTGAATTTTGAAGAGTCGAAATATTAGAAATAGGATGAACGGATCATATAAACCCGAAGGAAAATATAATACAAGCCCAAACGAAAAAATATAAACAAGTCTAAATTGAAAACAACGTTCAAACCTATGATTGCGTTGGATAAAAACCGCAATTTTTATACATGTGCATGCAAAACAAATTTCTTGATATAGGGGTCTAAATACAGCACAAACAACATTTTCCAAAAGACCAAAAAAGTGAAAAAGTATATTTTAACAAAACGCATTTGACTAACAGGTCGAACAACAGATGTTCTTAAACCCTGCTGACTGCCATTGGCGATTGCCAAATAAACGGATCACAAGATGTTACAAAATGGATCTTTTAAAATTTATAAATTTAATACCAAACAAAAAACAATAAACTTGCGGAAAAGATAGTATACCGCAAACAAAAGGTGCAAAAATTAGTACACCGTATGGGAAGCTGGATGGAGGGTTGTAAACCATCATAGTCTACCAGACTGGTTACAAGATAATGACTTTTTACACAAAGGACACAGAGTTCCAACAAATTCATTTAGAGAATGTTTTAAATCCATATTTAGGATTCATACAGAAACTGGAAATATATGGTCATAAATGGATTAAATATTTTTATTAATGTATCACTACTTCAGAAAATATTTACTACATTGTTTAAAACATTCTTTTGTTTAGGTATGATAGCTTTCATGGGGATAGCCGGGTATTTTTTAACTCGTCCATCAGTAGAGATCCAGTGGCAGGAATAATGTAAATTTACTTTCAGTTGTTAATAATTGCTTGGAATTACCAGGTTTTTTTTTTGAAATTTGAAACATTTTTCTTGCAACCAAGACAAGAGAAAATTTTCAAAGAGAATTTTGCTGCTAAAATTTACAGGGTAAACTGATTTTTTCACCAATATGACCAATGTCTTGATTAGGTCCATGTCACAGATACAATAAGTAATAGGTCAACTGTATTCAGTGTATAGAAACAGATGTAAGGTGAACTTGTTTGTCTGATCAGAGTTCATCTGACTTTGATTTCCTTTTCATGGTTCATTGGTCCACGCTAAGTGTTCATTATTCTAGGTCTGTTTCTAAGATTCTATTAGTAATGGGTCAACTGTATTTGATGTATAGAATGAATTTATAGTGTACATGTGCATTTGACAGGTTTCATGTGACTGATCTCATTTTCATGGATCATAAATGGATTAAATATTTTTATTAATGTATCACTACTTCAGAAAATATTTACTACATTGTTTAAAACATTCTTTTGTTTAGGTATGATAGCTTTCATGGGGATAGCCGGGTATTTTTTAACTCGTCCATCAGTAGAGATCCAGTGGCAGGAAAAGGCTGTTTTCTCCGCATTCTTTGCTGGTGCAATTTTGTGTTTAGGATTTTCATGGCTGTTTCACACAGTGTTCAATCATTCAGAGAAAGTTGGCAAGCTGTTTAATAAGTAAGTATAGCATGCTTGTTTTCGATTTTATTCCTAAAAAACATGTGAGCAATCCAATAACACATCAGCCATGTTATAATGACATTAACATGTGAGCAATCCAATAATACATCAGCCATGTTATAATGACATTAACATGTGAGCAATCCAATAATACATCAGCCATGTTATAATGACATTAACATGTGAGCAATCCAATAACACATCAGCCATGTTATAATGACATTAACATGTGAGCAATCCAATAATACATCAGCCATGTTATAATGACATTAACATGTGAGCAATCCAATAATACATCAGCCATGTTATAATGACATTAACATGTGAGCAATCCAATAACACATCAGCCATGTTATAATGACATTAACATGTGAGCAATCCAATAACACATCAGCCATGTTATAATGACATTAACATGTGAGCAATCCAATAATACATCAGCCATGTTATAATGACATTAACATGTGAGCAATCCAATAACACATCAGCCATGTTATAATGACATTAACATGTGATAATGAGGAAAATTAGTACATTGTTAGATCCTAATATTAACATGTGCATGTGGGTAGGATGTTCTGATCAATAAAGTTTTTTTTAAGTTATGCCCCTTTCAACTTAGAAATTTTGAGGGAAGAGACCTTGTCATCGCAATTCTCCTTTATAGACCTTTTTCATATTACCAACTTTTGACTCCAAAGTATATAATTTTCGACAGGTTACCTAATTTCAGTACTCTGTGGTAGGATATTCTGGTACTTGGTCAAGTAAGGTAGTATGAAAATAGTCTATTGCAGCTGTGAGACAGGGTTCGATAGAACTCTTTACAAATTTTATATTTATGAAACTTAGTAAATACTGTTTCAACTTACTACACTGATCATATGCTGCTATTTAAAAATCAAGTTTCCTTAATAAACAATTTTAATTCATATATAAAGTAATTAAGGTAATTTTGTATGAACACTATTCCTTGCCCACAAACACTGCTATTCAGACTTCAAATGATACATGAACTGAGACAACAATAAAAAAACATTAAAAAAAAGTCAAAAGTAAATCCAAGATGTAGGGGTTATTAGTCCAGCTTAGTGGACAGTTTTAGTTATTAACTCTATCATCATTCATTTTATTGTCGAGCCTGCGACTTCTGTCGCAGAAAGCTCGACATATGGATAGTGATGCGGCGGATGCGGCATTAGCTAACTTCTTAAAAGCTTTATATTTTAGAAGGTGGAAGACCTGGATGCTTCATACTTTGTATATAGATGCCTTATGTTATGAAGTTTCCGTCTGTCATATGTCCATTGTCCTTGACTTCATTTTCATGGTTCAATGACTACTTGAAAAAAAAGTTAAGATTTTTTGTAATGTTAATTTCTTTCTTATTATGAGTAATAGGATAACTATATATAGTATGTGCGTACCTTGCAAGGTCCTCATGCCCATCAGACAGTTTTCATTTGACCTTGACTTCATTTCATGGATCAGTGAAGTTTTCCTGGTCAAGTCCATATATCAGATACTATAGGCAATAGGTCTACTATATTTGGTGTATGGAATGATTGTAAGGTGTACATGTCCAACTGGCAGGTGTCATCTGACCTTATCCTCATTTTCATGGTTCAGTGGTCAAAGTTAAGTTTTTGTGTTTTGGTCTTTTTTTTCTAACAGTATATGCAATAGGTCAACTATATTTGGTGTATGGAAATATTTTATGATGTACATGTCAGTCTCGCATGTTTCATTTGACCTTGACCTCATTTTCACGGTCCATTGCTCAGTGTTAAGTTTTTGTGTTTTGGTCTGTTTTTCTTAAACAATACCGTAGAAAGGCTTGTATAGTCCGCGGTTTTATTCTCCAAAATTGGACCTTCCAGACGGGGTGCGGACTATAGAGTACAATAAGCAAGAAATAAGAGAAAAATTTTAATTTCGCGAGCGAGGTGGTTTGTTTACGTTCCGCCATCTTTGTTATTTATATTGTAGAGGGCGCTCTTATCATTTTTCAAACTAATAATTTTAACTCATCAATATTAATAAGTTATTTCTATTCAATATCAAATTAATACTGATAAATATAAAAACTAAACCTTTCATTACAAATTTCTCGTTTCTTTTCAATGCATTGGTCGAAATAAAATGGTATCTGCTTGATTGAAACGATACAAACATAGTGAAAAAGACAACCGTAAACCAGCTTAGAATTTGTAAATTACAAAACGTAATCGGTTATTGTTCGTTCCGTTTTGGTGTTTCATACTGACTAATATGGTTTGTATTAGCTTAAGACCCTTCAAACATTAATGTGATAGATATATTAAAGACTGTTTTACAAAAGGATGGAACTGTTTTACTTTCAAAGTCGTATTATAGTGATATCTGTTATGTACGGATTTCGACTCTCACCGGTTAATTTTTTCTTTTACACGTGCTTTTTAAACTTCCTGTTTAAACATACACAAGTTTCTAAATTGTTTTTTAAGTGAATTAAACTTATTTTAACAATCATGAAGCGTTCTAGAATCATTTACAAGCAGTTTCAGCTTCTGTTTGATGATGGAAAACAGGTTTTTCCAAAAAAATACTGCAAACGACCGCACAGGATTTGAAATTACCGGAGTTTCATTAGACCTTTTCTAACAGTTACAAAAAGTTTTTTTACCTAAAATTTCGTGGGGAGAAGGGGTGCGGACTATGTACCAGTGCGAACTATACAAGCCTTTCTACGGTAAGCAATAGGTCAACTATATTTGTTGTATGGAAGGATTGTAAGGTGTATATGTCTGTCTGGCAGGTATCATCTGACCTTGACCTCATTTTCATGGTTCATTGGTCAATGTTAAGTAATCATGGTTAAGTTTGTTTCTTAGATACTATAACCAATAGGTCAACTATATTTAATGCATAGATTGATTGTAAGGTGTACATGTCTGTCTGGCATGGTTCATCTGACCTTGACCTCTTTTTCATGGTTCATTGGTCAATGTTAAGTTTTCATGGTTAAGTTTGTTTCTTAGATACTATAACCAATAGGTCAACTTTATTTAATGCATAGATTGATTGTAAGGTGTACATATCTGTCTGGCAGGTATCATCTGACCTTGACCTCATTTTCATGGTTCATTGGTCAAAGTTAAGTTTTCATGGTTAAGTTTGTTTCTTAGAAACTTTAAGCAATAGGTCACCTTTATTTGGTGTATTGAATGATTCTAAGGTGTACATGTATTTCTAGTATGGTTTATCTGACCTATACCTCATTTTCTTGGATGATGGTCCACTGTTAGATTGTGCATGGCATCCACCCCAGGTCACCATAATAAAATATATTAGGTGTGTATTTTTCCAACACCCATGAAATCATGTGCTTCCCAAATAGATGCACCATAATCTATTACAGGCCAAACAAGAGTATCAAACAATTTTGTAATTGTACAATATTTTAAATCATCATTAGCTTTACATTTAGATATCAACAAACTCAACGATCTTCTAGCAACTATTGCAACTGCTTTTTACACATCATCATAGCTAAAATGTTCAGTAAACAATAAACATGATAGATATGCAACCTGGGAAACAAATTTCTATAAATCCAATCGTATGCTATTTTAAAGTTGATTAATGCTTCATAAGTTAATTGTTTTCTAGTTTCTATAATGGTAGTTGGTATACTCAAATGGTCGACTGTACTACACACTTTTCTTTTTGTTCATCACACAAGAAGTCAATATCACCAAGTTTAAACGTCAGTTGTGAGTTTTAATATTCCCCAATCACTTATATATTAAATAGGAGGTAAAGTAATACCTCAGAACGACAATGGATCCCTCACCGCTGTAGTACAGCTTTTCGGGAATAGGAGTTATAACCCCTTTACACAATAAAGTTGTGGCATTTGCTTGGCTTGAGTCATTATTTGTCATGTTTGGCCTTTTATTCTTAATTAATTTTAAGTACTGATATACACTAGTGTTGTTTTAACAGTTTCACAGTTCACTTGAAGATATGTCAGTCTGGTAAATAATAACATGTATCGATTATCAGGTTGTCTGCATATCGATATTGTAAAATATCAGCTTTGAGTCACAATATGAAGCTTTTTGTCGAGTGAGCGCAGTGAACGAGTTCAAAAAGGCTTCATATTGTGTCAAGCAACTGATATTTTACAATATCAATATGCAGACAACCAGATAATCGATTTATCTGGTTGTATTTGCGTATTTTGCATGATAGGAACAAGTATTTTCTTTGTTTTACCAGTAAACCGGAAGATGACTTGATAAGTTTGGGTCTCGGTTCATTCATTATGACGTCGGTGATATGTCCGGGTCACAATTATTAAGGCGGGGTCAACGTATTTGACGTCACAAAGCCGTGATATGCAATTTTATTAAGAGATGAGCAGAATGATACAGACAGTAGGACGACCAATAAATACAGTTATAAATCCAGGTTGATGTTGTTTTGATGGGTTTACATGCAAATGACCTGTATTTGTATTTGTTTGTATTTATTTTCACTAAAAATAAACGTTCAGCATGTTCAGCAAGAATTGTGAAAAAAAAACACAGCGAAAAAAAATTCATATACATTATTGCGAACCCAATGAAAGTTTTCCACAGTGCCATCTCTATCTTGACCAGGTATTTAAACTTTTGCAAGTTCACCTGTCCTATTGAATAGATACAATAGCTATTGTTCTCTGTGTAGTTTATTCTCTGGGACCTTTAAATTTCTTCTAAGAGAAATCTATCATTCATTGATTAAATTACCTGAGTAAAAAAAATTTCTTATATATAGACAAAAATACTGTTTTTATACTCATTAACTGCGTGTGATGATGTAGTTATTCAATATTAATAATATATTTTCATTCAGTTTAATATAAACATTGATTCAATCATAAAAATTTGATTTCTGACAAAACTTTCAACATTGTTCCTTTTAAAAAAAAATTTGTTTGACATGAATAAGAACTTGAAAATAATGATGTTTCAAATTAAGATCTTCTTAAATGAATTCTATAACTAAACAAAAAAAAAATCAAATTTCAATAGGAATATTGATAAAACTTTTGTTAGAAATCAACTTTTTATGATTGAATCAATGTTTATATTAAACTGAATGAAAATATATTATTAATATTGAATAAATACATCAGCACACGCAATTAATGAGTATAAAAAAAGTATTTTTGTCTATATATAAGAATTTTTTTTTACACAGGTAATTTAATCAATGAATGATAGATTTCTCTTAGAAGAAATTTAAAGGTCCCAGTGAATAAACTACACAGAGAAAAATAGCTATTGTATTCATTCAATAGGACAGGTGAACTTGCAAAAGTTTAAATACCTGGTCAAGATAGAGATGGCACTGTGGAAAACTTTCATTGGGTTCGCAATAATAATTTATGTAAATTAAATTATTTTAAAAAGTGTTAAGTATTGTTGAGAATTTTTTATGTTTTGTAGATTGGACTATTGTGGAATTGCCATACTGACTATGGGATCATTTGTACCTTGGCTATACTACAGTTTTTACTGTCGTCTTGTACCAAAAATAGCATATTTGGTACTCATCTTTGTTTTAGGGACTATATGCATTGTTGTTTCTCTCTTTGATAAGTTCAGGGAGCCACAATTCAGAGGAATTAGAGCAGGTAATAACAATCAATGTTAAGGTGATAAGAATTTGATATGTTGCCATGGTTGCAATACATGAAAATTATTATTTTCAAGAAAAAGTCTAATTCTCTGCACTGTTTAAAATTATTCTAATATGACGTTCTTCAAACGCTTTGAGTACCAGTACACACCCATTTTAAAATATGAATATATTGTATGTCATCTGATCGGCAAATTCATGATTTGTTTGGGCTATTCCTAACATACTCCCACGTCATATGCTTTTTCATGAATGAGCTAACCAACGTCAATCGGTGTAAATGACGTCATTTAACATGTTCAACGATGATGTAAGAATATAAGCATTTTACTGGAAAATGCACGGTGGTGAAACTGAAAGTCATCAAAACTAGGAAACATAAACAATGATAAAATTTGTTAAAAGCCAATTTTCTTTACACATAAGTAAGATTATCATTTAAATTCATCTAAACCTATCTAAGTACGTTATTGTAAATAGTTTAAGCATGTCACTAGTTCAATTTTCTCCGTTCTTTTACATCAATATTAAAAATGTGTTTATTTACAGGATCGGCAAATGTTTGCCTTCACCTAGAGCGCTTCGATCCAAAAGAATTGCTGTTATTTTCCTATTAGAATAGAAATAATTCTTGTGGGCTTTGAACTAATATTGATTTTACCACAGGTTTGCCCTTTATGCCGATATTTTGGTAAAATATTTAGCATAAAAGGTCAACCTGTGGTAAAATCAGTATAAATTCAAGCGTCCATGAATTATTTCTTTAATAACAAATTGTTTGCAAAAACATAAAAAATGGTGAGAAAAAACATCAATTCTGTCCTCCAGATATCATTTTTCCTGTCTCAACCCTTACTTTGCAGGGGCTTTTATAGTATAGCCTCTACTCAAAATATCTTTTTTGGTACCAATGGCTCTCCATACTTTTAGAGGTCAACTGTATGATATGTATTTTGAAATTGATACATGTTCTCTCTACCTAAGGCTATTTATTGTCATGTTTCTCAGGCTTAGGGTGCATTTTTAGCACAAAATACTGACTTCAAAAATTGAAATTGGATAAAAGTGGTTTTTCTAGAGGGTGGGCTACACTTTGGTATGTGGCATGTGCAGTACAGAGGCCTAAAACTTCCCAAAATAGTGTAAACCCTCAGACATATAACTACTGATTGTGTTTTTTATTGAAATACCCTAAGGGTACGACTACTTCCGGTTGCAGGTTCAGGTGAAGTAAAAAATCTGGGAAAATCAGAAAATTCTGGATTCCAGATTTATATGGATGCTGAGTATCTGTACATGAAATGCTTACTGATGAATTATATGATCATTGTTTGCCAATTTCATCATTGTACACTGCTCAATATGATTATGGTTTGCCAATACATGTATCATCATTGTTCACTGCTAGATATGATTATTGTTTGCCAATAATATCATTGTACACTGCTAGATAAAGATATGATGGGAAAGTTCACTTTTGTTTACAGGAATGTTTATAGCGCTTGGATTAAGTGGAGTGATTCCAGCCTTACATTTTGTAATATCAGATGGGTTTGACCATGCTGTGAACTACGCCTCGCTAGGCTGGCTTTCTCTTATGGCTGTACTGTATATTGTGGGGGCTCTCATTTATGCATTCAGAGTACCAGAAAGAATATTTCCAGGAAAATTTGACATTTGGGTAAGTTACTAGTGAATATCTTAGTAACTTTTTTAGGAATTTTCATTGAAATGTGTAGTTTTAATATAAGATTTTCAGTTTCTGTCTACAATGAATATAAGATTTTCAGTTTCTGTCTACAATGAATATAAGATTTTCTGTTTCTGTCTACAATGAATATAAGATTTTCTGTTTCTGTCTACAATGAATATAAGATTTTCTGTTTCTGTCTACAATGAATATAAGATTTTCAGTTAATGTCTACAATGAATATAAGATTTTCAGTTTCTGTCTACAATGAATATAAGATTTTCAGTTTCTGTCTACAATGAATATAAGATTTTCAGTTTCTGTCTACAATGAATATAAGATTTTCTGTTTCTGTCTACAATGAATATAAGATTTTCTGTTTCTGTCTACAATGAATATAAGATTTTCTGTTTCTGTCTACAATGAATATAAGATTTTCAGTTAATGTCTACAATGAATATAAGATTTTCAGTTTCTGTCTACAATGAATATAAGATTTTCAGTTTCTGTCTACAATGAATATAAGATTTTCAGTTTCTGTTTATATTAAACAAGTGGAGAGAAAATTTAGGCAAAAAACCTAATAGGGTTTCTGGTTTCTTGCCAAAGAATTATATGGTCAGTAGATTTGGATATTTTATTTTTATGCCCCCGCCATAGCGAAGGGGGCATTAAGTTTTACCCTTGTCCGTCCGTACGTACGTCCTGAAGTTGGTTTCCGTTCTCCAACTTTAGTTTGCCTCAACCAAATGCTATGAAACCTATACACAATGCTTAATACCACAAAATACAGATCGAGTTTGAATTTTGGTGGTGTCACTTTAACCATTCTAAAGTTATGACCCTGTACAAATGGAAAAATTGCTGAATTTTTTGTTTCCATTCTCTAACTTAAGTGAGCCTCAACCAAATGTTATGAAACTTACACACAATGCTTATTACTACAAAATACAGATCAAGTTTGAATTTTGGGGGTGTCACTTTAATTGATCTAGAGTTATGCCCCTTTACAAATGGAAAAATTGCTGAATTTTTCGTTTCCGTTCTCTAACTTAAGTTTGCCTCAACCAAATTTTATGAAACTTGTACACAATACTTATTCCTACAAAACTCAGATCTAGTACAAATTTGGGTAGCGTCACTTTTACCGTTCTTCAGTTATGTCCCTTTATAACTTTATATGATATACAAGCAGGGGCATCATTTGTGTCCCATGGACACATTCCCCATTTATTTAGTCATAAGTAGGAAAATATTGTGCTATTACTGAGCCCTGTTCCAGTACAACACATGCAGGTTTACTGGAAGTGTGCGTTTTGTAATCTGTCAATGAACAAATTGATGATGACAGATTTATTCAACATTAACTTCACCAACATATCAGTTGTTGTTACTGCTCATTTATTCTATCAAAAAAAGCCCCCCGGAAGCTCCCGGATTTTAGGGATTTCAGCCTTAATTCTTTACTTAAAAAAATAGGGTAAAGTCTGTAATATATGCTTCAATTTTGGGTAAGTTAACATTGAATCGTTTTTTTTCTAGAGTAATCATCTGAAAATACATTACTTATAATTATTTTGTAATCAGTTATAAAATATGTATGACCATGGAAGTATTATATTGTCAATATAATACTTCCATGGTATGACCTATAATGCAGGGGTTTCATGTGAAATGTTGTTTAAATGTTTTACATTTGTTCAATTTTGTGAATGAAATTTCATAAGTTACATAGTATATTATTAAAAAAATTGATAATAAAACTTGTAACTTTTTTTTATTGCTTTGTTATAATTATAACTGTGTCAATTGTTTGTGTGATTTTGAAAAAGGGGGGGGGAGGTGGCAAATTCATCATAGGATTCTTGACTATAGTAAGTAAAAATTTTTTTTTTCACTTCTTCAGAGCTGTCTTTTTTTTTTATTTTAGAAGTCTTAAATCTCGTCAGATATTATATTTTGTAAACGTAACACTTATGTTAATTCAGATTGTTTCACGAAGTCTTACACTAAAATTTTCAATCACAACATAGAACACATATCGAGAAAACGGAGATCAGTGACAACGTCCAACGGGAAACGAACTGATTTGATACGATTAACGATTTTCTGAATTTCATAGAATGTTCACCTTTATTAAACCTTTTATTCATAAAATAATCTGTGATACAAGCTGCTTTCCTTTTTTTAGACATAGTATTGCTGTTGTTGTTTAAATTCATCAACAATTTGCCGCTTGAAAATATACTGCTAAATCGTCGCATTTTAAAGCGCTCTTACGATACAGATACAGACACATGGTTTATAATTACTTTGGAGGTGTGCCTGAATTGGCAGAAGATAGATCTATACTTTAACGCGGACTTCGACGAAGACACCTATAAACATACACATGAACGGCGTAGAACGGAGATTATCAAGGAAAGAAAGAAATTAGATTTGAACGATCTTCAAAAGAATATTACACATTTTTTTTGGTATTTTTATTTTTTCTGCCGGTACCAGACGCTTCCGTAGGCGGGTAAAAGAACCGGGTACCGGGTCTTAATGAATGCACTGCTATTATGGTGACACAGGTGTAGAGAAGACAGTCGATTATTGATTTTTATTAAACATAAACATCTCCATATTGTAGAAAATATTTGAAATTACCCAATTTTGTTAAAAGACCAGTTGATAGTTAAAACAATATACCTATTGACTTAGTAAATTTTATGATGAAAAATCAGTTCTCGCTGTGTTCAACTAATAATAGTACTTTTTTCTGGAAAGTAACAAAAACATGTTTAGTTTAAATGTATTTTGGAGAGATTTTGTCCTATAATTAGACTTTGACCTCTCACCAAGATGTGTTGTTAGACAGAAAATTAAAATGGGAGAGTCTCCTATTGTGGGAAGAGTTAATTGGTAAAATAATACTAATTATTGTCTTTTTTTGATTTTTTAGTGTCAGAGTCATCAAATATTTCATGTATTTGTTCTGGCCGCAGCTTTTGTTCATTACCATGGTATAACACAGATTGCTAGTTACCGTTTAACACTTGGAGATTGTCTTGCTACAGATATTAGTAGTTAGATAGAAACAGAGGATTGTAGGATAGGGGAAATGTTATACGAGAGTTTCTGACTGGTGTGATACAGATTTTTAGCCCTCCATGATGAGTGGTTACATGCTGTTATGTTTTATTGTTTCCACTTAGATATTGATTCAACACTGAGGACACATATCATTATTTATTATATTGTACAGTTAAGTGGTTTTATACTCGTCTTTAAAAAAAAATTAAAATAATGGAGTGAATCATTTGAATAAGAATAGTAGTATAATTTCAGAGAACTACTCGATTGAATTATGAATTACTTTACAGAAAACAAAGAGAAAAGAGCAAATTTTGATTCAGTTTACTTCATTGTTTTCATGTTATTATTATATAAATGATAACTTAATATACACAAATGAAATAATACTAGAGTAACTCTATAGATCTGAACATTTCTAATTTTATTTGTCAGAATAATTGTCAGTAAAAATAGGTTATTCCCGAAATCTTTTGATACATGTACAACATTAGCATTGATTAGGAAAATGATGTTTGTAAATATTGTTTGTCAAGAACGAGTTTATTTAGTCAGTTAATTTTATTTTATCATTTTATGTTTTCCTCATATATTTGTATATACACAAGTGAATTAACTAATTGATCTTTAAAAAAATCCAATTTAAAGTGCTTTATCATTATTATTTGTTTTCACAATATGAAAAAAACTTGACTTCTTTTACCAAAGAAGCTAGTTTGCTAACTTTCATTTGTCAATTAATTATTATTCTATGAAGACAATTTTGATATTATGAAAAGAAACAGTAAAACTAGTATAAGAGGTATACCTTGTTGTAAAAGTACAAAATTGAGGAACAAAAACTTTAGAGTGCACCATAGATTTTGGCCTTTCCATTACTGAAGTGACTTCTATAGATGAAGGAGAGACATGTGTTTAAGTTAACTAAAACAGTTCCTACTAAATTGTTGATAAATATCCTCTTCACATTGTTCTTACAAATTGTATTAATATATTTGAGTTAATGAACTTGATTGATTAAAGAAATTTTGATTTATTTATCAATGATTTAAAAATTAAATTACCAACAACCCAGAGCATAATGGTTTTTATATTGTTCAATTTGAAAATCATACATGTGTTTTCATATTTTTTCATTTAGTTATTCAATATTGTTTACAAGATATATTTCAACATTAAAGTGTACAATGGAGGATCTTAAATAATGTTAATATGGGTCGAAACATGTTACATCAACACTTTTTATTTGAAATATATATTAATTTATTGATAACTTCTTCAACAATCTGACATAGTGAGAGAGAAAATCCATGTACAAGGAATACTTCACATGGTTTTATTTGTACATGAAATACAAATGTAATAGAAACTTTTATTATTTGATTTAAAAAAATTGTGACTTAGTGATAAGATTCTCGTGTCTGTTATATATAAACAGGTTTATGCATTCGTAGATCATTGTGATACATGTATGTGATTGTAGTGTAATCAAAAGTCTATCTTGTCAGTTTGAAAATAGGAGATAATGAAAAAATTGAAGGTTATTTTGAATGTTATTCTTTGTTTGGTGGAAAGAACAGATTAATTCACTACTTTTTATGCATTTTGGATACTAGATTGATTTAAAAATATGTGTATTTGGTTTTTTTTATCAGCCTTTCAACATTAATAATATTATTTCTAGCCATACTAAGCCTAAAATTAATGAATGACTTTATATTGAATTTGTATTCTTGTTGCAAATTTCTTTGTCTGGCGACCGCAAAATCATGGCTGAGGTCTGCAAACATTTGTAATTTTTAAAGATTGATTTTCATTTGAAACATTGCCAAGTTCTTTAATGATTTATTATTTGGTGTGTGTGAAATTTATTGATATTCATAAACATCTCAGGAATCATAATTGTCGAATGGTTTGTCACATATTAATGCTGACATGTTGAAACAATCGAGAAAAAAGCAGAAGATCAATTTTGAGTGTAACAGTTGAATATTTTAGAATCTATAGATTCATTGTTTGTACAGTGCAATGAAAAGAACTGTAATAACTGTAAGAGAAAATAATGAGCTTATCTCCCTTTGAATAAAGATATTACAAAAAAATGTATGATAATGGACAGTAATTTGTCTTTAAAGAAATAGATAAAAAGCTAAAATCAGGAAAAACTTGATTTAACGGCATGTTAATTTGACCATACTAAATTGAAAGTAAATGATTTGTTTTGATCATCAGAATTGGACCTATTAAAATTTTTCAGTGGTGAAAATCTCTTGGCTAGTGGATAAAGTCAGGTGACTTGTAAAATGATGACATTTGAAAGAAATCACAGTTGCCAAAATTTCTTTTGTTTTCTAATTGTAGTGATGTTGTAACTGTTACTTGTAGATAAGAGATATACAGATATGTTGATATTCATTGTATTTTGTAATTAAATTCCTATAAAACGCTTACAAGAGTTGTTGTTTTAAATGCTAAATGCCCACAAAAGGCTATGATATGTTACATTTTAATTTATAATTAAAATTTCATTGATGCTTTCTTTGATATCCAGATTCTGTTTTCTTCATTTCTATAACCCATGGATATTTGGCCTCTAATTTCATATTATGTCATTTTTAAAAGTCTTAATAGAACTGTTTACTTAATAAGAAGCTATATTAATCTTCAAAAAAAGGTTTCAGAAGGCATATAAAAAATATTACAAATATGAATTCCATAAATGAATACTTATTTACATAACACCACATAAACTTAATGGCATAGTGCAATTGTCAGGCTTCATAGATTATTATCATTATAAGGATAAAGTTATTCTTATTATGCACTCCACTCACAAAGCAGATGGTATACTGCAATGACCTTGTTTATAAAAAATAAGAAGATGTGGTATGATTGCCAATGAGACAACTCTCCACCAGAGACTAAATGACGTGGAAGTTAACAACTATAGGTCACCCTACGGCCTTCAGCAATGAGCAAAACCCATACCCATTGTTAGCTATAAAAGGCCCTAAATGACAAATGCAAAACAATTCAAACAAGAAAACTAACAGCCTGATTTATGTAAAAAAACAATAAGCGAAAAATAAATATATACAGCAACAAATGACAACCACTGAATTACAGGCTCCTGACTTTGGACAGGCACATACAGAATGTAGCAGGGTTAAACCTGTTTGCCTATTATCTTAAAAACTATAAATGATAAACACTTGAAATAGCAAAAATAATTAGCTAGACAAGATCTACAAATTAGTCAAATTTTGCCAAAATCTTTAGTAGACTTTATAGGAATGATTGCCCTTAAAGAATGATTTTTTTTACCCTTTTTTTTGTGTTTTGGACAAAATCTTAAGAAGATCAAGAAAAACAGAAAAAATGATCAGCAATACATGATCAACAGAAAATAGATTTTTGTCATGAATTCTATTTTAGTCCACAATGTTGGAGAGTGTTTATTTTTGAAGATGCACATAGACCTAGGTGAGCGACACAGGCTCTTTAGAGACTCTATATATAATACCCACTGCGTGCCCATCCCTCCCTCTAAACATAGAAGAAAAAAGGTAATTTATTGGTAAAATTACAGCCAATTCTTTGTCAAAATATGGTCCTCTAACTCTTAGTTCTAAGGAGCCCCTCCCCTACATCAAATCCTGGATACACGCCTGTAGCATACTGAATATTAATGGTTTAGGCTATGTACTTTTTCTGAAATGAATATAATCAGAAAACTCATGCTAATAAGAAAGCCAGCATTATTGTTGAGCAAAGTAATGCCTATGTCACAACTTTAATGTTTTTTTGTCATAGAAAGACAAAAAAAATGTCTGGAAGCTACAGTAAAGCTATTCAATATGGATGCTGATTTACAATGTACTCTGGTTCAATGTAGTTGATCTTCATGGAAAAATCATTATGCTATAGCAGAGATATGAACTTTGGTGTAAAGTAGTCAATATAAAAAAGCCAACTGAGCAAAAAATAGAGGTCAGAATAACATACTAGTATTATTTGCTTGAATGCAGACCTTCTTACAAAAATATGCCATTTTGATATTGAATAAGAAAAAATATTCTTACGATCAAATAATTATTTTCAAAATCTACTAAGCTCTCACCCCCCCTTCCCCTCCCAAAATCAAATGGCTTACCTCTAAGAGGTAAACTGGATAAAGGATATGCATCTAATATTAATCTTTCTGCTCTTTTTTGAAGTTTTGATATTCTTTGTATTCTTTCATTATGACATTCTCCCACAAACAATACATCAGTAGTCCATAAGAGGGAGAATAATTTTTACATCAAAAATTTTTTATGTTTCTGAATCAATTTCTAAGTTTTGTTGATAAATCAGAATTGTTAAAATTCTGCTTAGTTCCAGAAACCAAATATTATTTTTATTAATTTTGGATGAACATGTTATTCATTTTGAACTTCTCTTCAACTCAAAACAAACCCTTCAAGCCTTTTGCACATCCTTGTGTATATATTTCTCTGTTTTTACTTGATTTTTGAATAAACAAACATGTAGTATCTCATAAGCTGACAATGGTTTCGGTCTGTGCGTCCGTCTGTCTGTCTGTCCCGCTTCAGGTTAAAGTTTTTGGTCAAGGTAGTTTTTGATGAAGTTGGAAGTGCAATCAACTTGAATCTTAGTACACATGTTCCCTATGATATGATCTTTCTAATTTTAATGCCAAATTAGAGTTTTGACCCCAATTTCACGGTCCACTGAACATAGAAAATGATAGTGCGAGTGGGGCATCCGTGTACTATGGACACATTCTTGTTTTAAATTTTCTTTCAGATATGGTCATTTTTAGAAGCATTCAGATAATGGTGGTTTTACCATCTCTTTTGGAATTTTTTCTTGGCTATTTCTCCTATAACATGGTACTTCATTTGTCTTTAAATATCTTTTTAAATATTCAAGGTATAGCTATTCAAATATGACCTCCAAAATTTTCCTGAAATACACTGTTGTGCTACCTTAAAGGCAATAACTCCTATGAGTAGTCATGTGATCATTTTAGTTATATAGGCATTTTGTAGTTTTTGTATTGCTAATAATTTTTGGTTTTTACTGTATCTATTCATCTATTGAAGTTTTCAAGATAATAGGCAAAAAACACTAAAATTAGTCAAAAAATATTAAAGGGAAATAACTCCTCTCAGAATTCAATTGATGGTTTTCAATATAATGGGCAAAAAATCCTAAAATAAGTCAGAAATAATCATTTATTTGCAATTACTACTCAAAGAAATCGTCAGATGGTTTTGGTCACATTGGCATTTTCAGGAAAGGTTGCATTCATTCAATCAAAACCCTTGGGGAACTGGCTTGATAGTTTCCAGATCTTATCACTCCTTTTAAGAGCAAAATAAGATAGTGCTTTGAGCACAAGATTCTATACATCCTATCCATGTACATTTCAAGAAATTAATTTATCAATGAAATATATACTCAGGTACTCAGATGTTCAAGTTACAAAATGATGTAATTTAGTATTTGTGTTGGTTGCCCTCTGGTATGTTTGTTTTTCATTTATTGTTCAGTTGGTTTTTTGTTTGAATTGTTTCACATTTTGTCATGTTGGGGCCTTTTATAGCTCACTATACAGTATTGGTTTTACTCATTGTTGATGGTTGTATGGTGACCTATAATAGCTTAAATCCGTTCATTTGGACTCTAATGGATGTTCACTCATTAGCAATCATATCACATTTCCTTTGTTTATATTGTGTTTAACCATACTTGTAAACAAATTACATAGGTGGTGCCTGGTACATGAATTTATCTATTCTAAAGATATCAATGATGTCAATGTTAAATATTTAAAATTGAAGTTATCTTCCATTGTAATTGAACCAAAAACAGTTATGTACATAAGAATATATCTCCAAATCATAGTACATGTATTGCCTTTCAATGCTTATACAATGCTTTGTTTAATTTTTATTTCCCACTGCAAAATTAATGCAATCTTTACCCTGCAGTTTGTAATGCTGATAATTTGTTTATGCATTTTTGTCCCCTGCGTAATGCTTTGTGGGGGACATGGAAATGCCAGGCGTCCGTCCGTCAGGTCTTGTTAGCGCTCTCACAGGTACAATTCTTGCCAGATTTTTATAAAACTTATACAATAGGTTAATATCAGCAATATCTCAGACAAGTTCTATAATGGTGGCCGATCGACTTTATTAAATGAGTTATGCCCCTTGGAAATATTAAATTTATGGAAAATGGCCTCATTAGCGCTCTCACGGGTACAATTCTTGCCAGATTTTTATAAAACTTATACCATAGGTTAATATCAGCAATATCTCGGACAAGTTCTATAATGGTCGACGATCAACTTTTTTAAAAGAGGTTATGACCCTTGGAAATATTAAATTTATGGAAAATGGTCTTGTTAGCACTCTCACGGGGACAACTGTTTATAAAACATAGTATACTATAAGTAATGCCCTTGACGGTCTGTTTGAAATATTTAGTATACAATAAAAAAAACTTTTTTGTCCCCCGTGCACGCTTTTTAACTATAAATTGTTTTAAAGAACAACAAAAAAAAGTGTTTTTTTAGTTATTGCCCCTGGATAGATAAAATATGTGCAACACGAGGGACATTGGAACTCTGTTCTTTTATCCTTCTATCTATAATAATTTTCAAGATTATAGGCAAAAACAAGAAAAATTGATTCAAAATCATCAATTAGGGGCAGTAACTGTTTACCAAAAAATAGCACTTTTATAAGTTTGGTGAATCTGAAGCACTTTTTTAGGATTGTCCTTCATCAGGAATGCTCAAAACCAAAATTTGAAAGCCAATGATGTATAAATCCTTGAGGAGCAATATGATCAGATGGGACATTAAATGGATACCAAACATCCTAACAACACAAACAATTCATAGAGGTCAACATACAGTCTTCAGTAATAGATTATATGTCACATCCTCAATTGCCCAGAGTCTTGACAAGTAGACTACCAAAGATCTGCCAGCAACACCAAATCCATTAAAGGACAGCAACACTAAGATATAACTAATAAACTGTTAACACAGAGATTTGTGATGCCTATTTGTTATTTGGATCATGCAAATGTTGAAATTAAAATAGCAATACTTTAACATATAAGTTATGCAAATATTCAAAGTCAATGAACCATGACTGAAGGTACAGGGCTAAATAATCACCATGGAAATGAGATGTGCCAATGCTAATACAACTGCATACCAAATACCATTGACTTTTCATAAGTCGTTCCCTTTAAACAAACCTAAACACAAACATTAACTTGTAAACTATGTAAAAGTTTCAAAGTCAATGAACCATAATGAGGGAATGGGCCATATAATCTCCATGGAAACAAAACTTGCAAATGCCAATACATTTGCATACCAAATATCATTGACTTAACATTAGTGGTTCATCTTAAACTGATCTAATCACAAATTAATACATGTAAACTAAGCAAAAGTTTCGAAGTCAATAGACCATGACTGAGGGGGCGAAACCAAATAATCTCCATGGAAATGAGATGTGCCAATGCTTATACAACTGCATACCAAATATCATTGACCTACGGTACCATTAGTGGTTCACCTTGAACTGACCTAATCACTAACTAATACATATGTAAACTAAGCAAAGTTTCAAAGTCAATAGACCATGATTGAGGAAGCAGGGCCAAATAATCTCCATGGGAATGAGATGTGCCAATGCTAATACAACTGCATACCAAATTTCATTGACCTACCACTAGTGATTCAGCATAAACTAGACCTAATCACAAACTAATACATTTTTAAAGCCGCCGCCGCCGGCATACCTATGTCTCGCTTTTTTACTCCGTCAAGGCGAGACAAAAACCATTGAAAAAGTTCCAGACTTGGGACAGGCAAAAGAACATGTTTTGGGGTTAAACATGTTGTTTAAGGACTTAACCCCTTTATAATCTCCATTTGTTTAAATGATAAATGCTACAAAGAATGTGCAATAAAATATCAGTTTTGCAAAAGCACTTGTATGCAACTTTATAATATCAATATATTAAACCAGAGAAACCAGAGACATGTATATACATATATATGTCTCTGATTAAACACAACAAAAACACTGATATAATGCCTGATCAAAGAATGCTTGCAGTTACTGAAAGCATGCTCAATGTATTTAAACAGTTAAACTGCTTATTTAAAAATAATATCTTTTTACATTTGAATACTGACTGCAAACTCTGTCATCATTTTATATGCACTATTCAATTATGAACACAAGATATTTCACAAAAATTTATTCCTTGTCTACATAAAAAAACAATACAAATTCAAGTCATCATAAACAAACATGTTAGCAGTATTTATCACAACATTAAGACAATTGAATAACATCTGATTGCATATACCGGTAATGTGATTGCAATATTATCATAAAACTATCTAAAAAAGTAAACAATACATTTGAAAAAAAAAGTATGAAAGTTTCATAGGCTTTAACAAAGAAATATATATAATCAAACAATAATGCAGATTTACAAACAAATTTATACATACATTGTTCCCTTGACTACAGTTATCAACAATACACACATATCATCCTAGTACAATTGTATTTATAAAAAAAGGCAGGTCTAGTTTTATATGTCTTTTTTATGTTGTTATAGATATGAATAAGACTGGACACAGAGTCAGGAGGATTTTACTGGATCCCCTAAGGAACAACCTCACCAAACATTTGACTGAAATTAGTATCCTTACATACAAAATCTATCTTCTGACTAAACATGCTAAATATCTTTTTTGGTGACAGGTTTTACCTGTACCTAAATCTCAAAATTAAACCCATTTTGACAATCTTTGTAATTTTCCTTAAATGTATTAAGTAGTTTGTAGGCCTACCGCATACATCTCAGATCAAATTCATGTGTACTAATTGGAATAAAATATTCTTAGAATATTAATAATAGAATTTTAATTGGAATAAAATATTCTTCTGTATTAATACTGATATTGAACAGAATTTCAACAATCCAAAGGCTGTCATTATTATACTATGTGGGTCCTCAGTGGCCGAATGGTCTAAGTAGTGGAACTACTGTATCACTAGCCTCTCAACACTGAGGTTGTGAGTTCAATTCCCGCAGGTGAGCTCAACTCCAATCTAAATTGTCTGTTTTCCTACCAGAGGATGGTGGTTCTCTCCTGGCACTCCTGCTTCATCCACCAATAAAAACTGACTACCACAAAATATCACATTAGTGTTGAAAGTGAAGTTAAACACCAATCAATCGATCAATCATATTACAGTATGATTGTCAAATTAATGGAGTAAAAAGTATGTATCAAACTATCATCTTTACATTCTGATAATGCTGTATGGGCTGTTACCATAAATACAGAATAACGTTAAAATAACAGAATATATTAAACAAAATGCAAAAAAAATCTTATTGTTTCACTGCACCATCAAGAACTAAATAATTACTAAAGATGTATGACATGTACCTGAATACTAACACTCTAAAAAAATAAATAAATATATCTTCTCTGCAAAGTAAATTGCTTGGTCATTAAATTGACAACAAATAAAACAGCAAATTAATCAACAACACAAAAAAAGACTAACATATATATTTTTATGATTTTTTTTCCTTTTTAAAGTGTCATCCTTTTTGTAGAGTATTTCAAAACTTTCTACAAATTCTTTCATTAAATTCCTTTTTTGTTTATACTTTCACTCTGTTAATCTAAAATGGTACGTTAAACTTTCTAAAGGCTATTCTAGAAATTTGAATTATTGTCATTTTACTTTGAAATGAAAGCTAACACTACATTATTAAATAAGTCCTATATCTGTAAAATGTTAACAAAAATCACAATAAGAATTTATCATGCTGCCTTTATTTTGTCATCCTTTTCATCACTTTTTACATTTATTGAAAGACTAAGTAGAAAGTCAGCTATAACATCCTGCCATAGACATAGAACAATCCATCCTGGTGCATATTCAAGGGTAATCAGACCCATAAAGTTGTAATCATAGTGACTGTAATCCCATGAACATGCATCAAACTGTCGTAGAACCAGGCCGAATGATAACTCCCATGTATATAATACTAGGAGATAGATGGCTGTTCTCGTATACCATGGAATGCCATGCTTCAAGTATAAGAAAACATATAGTCGTTCTACAACTAAGCTGCAACTACCATAAATGAAGAAGGAGTAAATGGTTGTGTAGCCTTTTAGTTGTGCATTGCCATGAGGTTCTAAAAATAGGTCAAACAAAGCTGTGAAGACAATCTCATCAAAAAGTCCATGAAGACCATAGAAAAAGAATCTAGCTACAGCAGGAAGTGGTTTCTGGGGTACCACATCTGTATTCGTCATTTCTGAAAATAAAGATATAAAAATTAATTTTATGAAAAAATGTTGTATTTTATACATATACATGTACAACTAAACTCAACTATATGCACATTTACTACTAAAATTCAAAATAACAAAAGTGTGAAGTGAAGTCTTTTTTTCAATAATTAATGTTTAATACATTTAAGCGTAGTTGGTAACAGTTTCAGGGGGAAAAACTGTTAGTGTGATGAAAGTCAATGTCCCATTATTACTACCGGTAGTTTTGTTTATAATAACAATGCAATAAAAAAATCTAATATCACAGGAGTCCTGTTAGGATTAAAATTTAAAAAAAAAGAACATTAGCAAAAAATTATCAATCATGAGAATTACAAAACACTTTTTTGTCTTTTTCAAATAAACAGACGACAAATATTTGTATTTTGTCAAAAATGCTGCAGAATATACATGACATACATGTACCATGAACTTTTATTTTTCTTGAAAAGGGAATTTCCTGCAACATATGAGGTGACAGTTGGCATGGGAAAACATGTTTTCAAGGATTTTTTTACAGCATTCTCAAGCATGGTAACACATTCTTTTTATATTCATTTCACAATGTACAATGTACAATAAAGCCAGCTCATATAAAATATAAGGAAAATAAACTTATGAAACTGCTCAATAAAGGTAAAACATTTAACAATTTCTGGCATGTAACATACAATTCAATAAGTTCTGAAATTAAACAATACTGCTGGGCTTAAGTACAATTTGGATGTTCAGACTGTTCTATAACAACAAATACTATAGTCTGGCTCAAGCTCTGCTGTCTACCAAAAAATTATTTTTTTATTTGTGCAAGAATTTGTTCCAAAATTTCTATACATAGTAATTCGAAATATTGCAATATTGTCCAAAATATGCTTTCATACAAGAAAAAGACTTTTAAAAAGTCTTCTGTATTCATAACAATCAGACATCCATTTGAATTAAACATGTTATATCCTGACAGTAAAATATATGTGAATAAATGGGGAATGTGTCCATGGGACACAGATGATGCCCCTGCTTGCATATAATGTTATAAAGGGGCATAACTCTAGAGTGGTAAAGGTGACACCACCAAAATTCAAACTTGATTTGTGTTTTAAAGTAATAAGCATTGTGTATAAGTTTCATAACATTTAGTTGAGGCAAACTAATGTTAGAGAACGGAAACAAAAAATGTAGCAATTTTTCCATTTGTAAAGGGGCATAACTCTAGACAGTAAAAGTGATGCCTTCAAAATTCAAACTTGATCTGTGTTTTGTGGTAATAAGCATTGTATATAAGTTTCATAACATTTGGTTGAGGCAAACTAAAGTTAGAGAACGGAAACCAATTTTGGGAGGAACGTACGGACGGAGGGACGGACGTACAATTTTCACTTTTATACATAATTGTTTCCAGCATTTTGTGTTGCAGAATATTCATTACATCCTGTCTTATGCAAGGTTATCTATTTTCAGCTCTGACTGGTCAGGCAAGGATATTCATTTTCAAAATCATAGCATTACCTAACACATCTATGTGTCTATATCTCTGATGTTTTCAGGTATACTTTTTTTATATAATAAAACTTGAAAACATTATCTGAATATTGAAGATTTCATTCCTTTGTTTGTTATAAAATTGATGTCATATATTAATTGTTTTATAGAGGATTACGTCCTGTTTGCAATAGCAAAATCAAAATAAAGATCAATAAACTTAAGTGAATAATCCAAAATCTTTAAAAAAAATTATTGTAATAAATCAGATATTCAAAGTTATCCGGTTTTGTTTTTTTTTTAATTAGAATTTTTTTAGAAAACATATCTTGGCATACAACTTCCAGCAAATTTATTACACTTGATTACCAAAAAGTATTATAATGACAAATATAAATATGTAATGAAAATAGTATTTGTACAATTTCCTTGTCAACTTTTTCACTCTCCCTACAGCAGAGAAATCAGATTTTGAAAGTTAGATTCATGAGATTGGTAATCCTAAATCCTTCTTTTATTTTCTGTCAGTACTTCCCATATATATGCATTTGGCGACCATATGCATAAGGTCCAGGTAATTACATGTAACATGATCAATGTTGAAAAGGTGTCCCTCAATTAAGAGTTTCTAAAAATGAAATTTGAATGTCATTGAACCACATCTCTCTTTAATTTTTTAAAAATTATTTTGGTGCTTAAATTTGTTTTTATTGTTAAAATTTCTTTAATATTTCAAATTATTTTTAGTTATTTAATGTGTTCTTGCTCCTATATACGATCTTACAATAACAGTAAGATCGTATGAATAGGAGCAAGACCACATCCATTAAATGAAAATAAGAAGAAAGTAGAAGAAATTGTGTTTCTGAAATATTAAACATTTAGTCTAAGAAAAAAGAAAATAAGGACCATGACCCAAACATCTGTGGTTTCACTTACAGACAAAACCGTTGACAGGATAAAAGGCCATATAAATTGACTCTAGCGTCCTAAGGCAAAATAATTAAGGGCATACAATACATTTTTGAGTCCACGGTGATATTTTTACGAAAAATTTGCAAACAAGCTATTTTTCACCTAGTCAATTCAAATATGTAATAAAAAATATACCTTCATGTGCTACTTTAAGAGATAAATGGGGTCAAAATTTTAGACATTTACTCAAAATTTCAGTTTTTTGGACATTTCTATTCTTTGGATAGACATACTTAACTTTTTTGTTTCAAAAGATAAACAAAAGCGGATTTTTGTAAAAACATTTGGAAAATCTTCTTTACAAAAGTATGCCCTAAATTTGAAATTCTTTGGAAATAATTCATTTTTATCAAAATTTCATGATTTTAGAAATTTTTGCTGTATATTTATCGAATTTAAAAAAATTTCATCAGTGACTTTTTCATAAAAATTGTAACAAATAAGCTTCGTACAGAATCAAACCTAATGTCATTTTAAAAAAGAGGTGTTAATGAACCTGTTTTTAAGTTAAATCAGTCTGAATAATAAAAATTAGTCGAAAAATGCATCTTTTCCCAAAATGTCAAAGTTTGACGTCGCGAAAATAACATATTAGTAATAAAAAATTACATATTTTTTCTTAAACATTTTACGTTAGCAACGTCATTACATCCCCTCTAACTGTATCATATGCCGTTAACAGATACAATGTACACCGGAATATTTAGACAATATGTGAAAAATGAAGGAATTCGGTTTAAGTGACTTTTGCCAAATGAGCTGTTTGATCTTGCTAATGAAGTTAGAATTTATTCGAATAATACCTTTATGGTCCAGCCTCTTAATAACCAAACGAGTTTACACCTTAAGGCAATTTGTCCGCCATTACTGGACATCACAAAATTTCCAGTTAAATTTTGACGTCATAACGGAAAATGTCTGAGGCCACAAAGGAAAAGTGATTGTTGTTATCGTAAATAGTTCAAGTGGAGCAGATTCTCTGGTCAAGTGGCGCAGATTCCCAAATAGCGATAAGGTCTATATGATATGAAACAGACATTATGAGTATGTAAATTTGCTGTTTATTTGAAGACAAAAATATCATGCTATTTTAAATGGCTGAATTGCCCTTTTTCAAAAATAAGACCTGCGTATAATATTAATCAAATTATCTTATATATGTCTATGCTTTAATATAGCATACTGAAAAGGGGGGTCAATGTTCACAGTACCGGTGTCCAGAATATCACTTTGTCGATCAAATATATGTACCTGCTTAGAATCGCTCTTTGTCTAGCTGAATATTTAAATGTCAGTCCAGTGTCCTTGTACTAGGACAGGAAGGGTCAACACTTCGCCGGTGGCAGCTGATTTTATTATTTCACTTCCGGTTTTGTTGTTGACATTAGAAACATCATTACGCATGTGTCAATCTAACATGTCTGCGCCCATGTGAAAATTCTGGAAACTTGAATAAGTTTGTTTTTCTTATATTTGCTGCCCCTGCACTGTATATTTGCATTGAAAACAAGTAACCATAGATTGACCGACTTCATTATGGCGTCAACAGATCACGAAATGAAAATGTTCAACCTCCAACAACAAGTTCGACAGAATCAGGGTGAACTGGAGGAATATCTCAAAGAAATGAACAACTGGGAAGAAGAAGTTAAGAGGAAAGAATCTGATGTTTTGAAGCAAAAGCCAAACAAAGCCATGGTATAGAGTAAAGGATATTTATTTATATCTCATTCACACTGATTTATCTAGAATTAGACATGTTTAATTCTTGTTTTATACTTGTATACTGAACTTGAAGCAATCAGAGTCTGTTGGTCCCTACATGTATATACCTTATCGCTATTTGTCTGCCATTGCTGGACATCACAGAATTTCCTGTAGAATTTTGACTTCACAAGAGAAAATGTTCGACGTCAACTTTGATTGTTGTATGACGTCAATACACCTTATCGCTATTCCCGGCTGACCCTAGAATCTGTCCCGCTTGAACTACTGACGTCATACAACAATCACTTTTCCATTGTGGCGTCAGATATTTTGTATTATGACGTCAGAATTTTACGGGAACCTGTGTGATGTCCAGTAATGGCGGACAAATAGCGATAAGGTGTATAGTTCAAGTGTCTCAGATTCCAAGATAGCAATAAGGTTCCATGATCACGGATCACGAAAATATAAAAAAAAAAAAATCTGTAGAAAAACGGATCACGATAGCGAAAATGTGCCAATCATGAAGACAGAAAATAACCCATCAGGCCCCTCATTACTTAAAATCACACAGGTTCCAGTAAACTTTGACATCATAATTCAAAACATTTGACGTCACAATTAAAAAGTGATTGTTGCCTGACGTCAAAAGGTGATTCGGAGTACATCTAAGGTCATTCGGAGGCAAAATATAGCTAAATACCAAAAGTGTAAATACGTTTATGCTGCCAAACACCTCAAAAAGGACATATTTGTGGTGTTATGGTGTGCCACTTTTATAAATCATTAAAATGTTAAATTTATAGGAATTAACTACTTTGGTTTACAGGTATAAATCTTTGTTACATAATAAGAAATTTATTTAGGTCTTATGAGGATTTTACGGATTGTAAATATATTAAATAATAAAATTTTAATGGTTAATTCTAAAATTACATCTTTGTTATGAAAATACTACTTTTGAAAGGTGTTGGATACATGTATATGAAGACTTTTAAGTATAATAATATCTTCAAATGTTGAAAGCATATGACATTTTTACAATTCAATTTTGATACCTTAATCAGTTTTTCCAAGAGAATCAACCTGAAAACATGGAAAACCGTCAAGCATATAAAATAAATATCAATGGAAGTTTTAATTATATTGTAGTGTCCGTAGACCCTACTTTATTTCCAAAGAAATATTACTTGTCTTGCAATAAATTCTTTAATTGATCTTTTTTCTTCTGCAGACTTATGGTTAGAATGAAAATAAATTCACACATCCTGGCAGATAGGAAAAAAATTTTGTCAGTTTGGAAGAAAATTTTGTCCGTAGACCCATATTTTATATTTCTATTTCAAGCTTTGTATGAAAAGCTAGACATGTATTGATAATTGTACATTGCTATTATAAGTTAAATTATACATTGTACACTGTAAATGGAAAAAAAAACACCTTTTTTTAATGATATATTAATATAAGACAAAATCTGTAGTGTCTGTATTCCTTCGGCATTTATCACTTTTCTCCTCATTAAAAGTCTTTAATGTTTGAGCAAACTTTGCACTGATGGCCTAATTATTTCACAAATAAAACTTTATTATTGTTTTTGAAGTGTATTAATATTCTACACATTGTTATTATAACACATATGTAGTGTCCGTAGACCCCCAGGTTATGATACTAAATATATATTAACTGCTTGATAGAAAAGAAAATCCTTTTGGAATTTTATCCCTGACACACTTAACAACAGAAATTCATCAATATTCATTATGTGGAACTACTTTCATTTTTTTCAAAAATGTGACACACATTATCCCAACCTGATTATGTTTTAGTCGTGATGAGTTCCCAAAAGGTTATAGGTGCATGTTTGTCCTAATTATGGGTAAAACGATTTCCTGAGAACTCCCAAAATCTCGATATGAACCAGAGAACCGAAAGATATTACTTAAAAAGTCTATTTTATATGGTGTAATGCTGCTTTTATTGCTAATAAAGACTATGAATTTGAGATATATGTCAGTTTTACAATAAAAGTACAATTTAACTTCAGGAATTCGATTTGTGTGTCTGGTGTGCAAATTCCTTGTATGACAATATGGGGGATGTTATTAAACAAAAGGTGGATAACCAATCATGGAAAACAATTTCATTACATTACGTCACCGTAACGTTCAAAAGTATTTCGGCCCATACTCAAGACATTGGGACATTCTCTAAATAACCACAAACTGACTCTTCAGTAAGGCTGAAGCAGTATGCTACTAGTCAAATACTGAATCATATCATTAGTCCTATGGACCTTCTTTGTTAATAATCTCTTTCAGTATCATGTGGTAGAAACTGTCTTTGCAGTCAAAGAGGAGCTAGAATCCACAATGTCTACAATAACCAGAGAAATTCTGAGGTACAAAATTGTGAATGACCTCCTTCTGTATTCTGTGGTAGATAGTTAGAAACCCTCTATGAGTAGTTCTGAAGTACAAAATTTTATACAAATGACATTTTGAAAAAGTTATTACGTGAAGTTGTATAAACAGATGGAAATACACGTAATGAAATAAACCTATATATGTTAACCTTTATTTTTTTGTGAACATCAGGAAGTACTGAAGCCAGTATTACAATTATATTTATATTTTTGTATATTTATATTTGATCCATGTATCGATACTGCAAAAAATAAATTATTAGCACATACTACTTTATGTTTCATAGGAAATCCCACCTGTAAGGAACTGCATGTTCAAAAAGAAAAAGAAAAAAGTGAAAAAGTCTAAAGATGAAGCTGGCAAATCATCAAGAATAAGTGGATATGATTACAGAAAATGGGATAAGTTTAATGTTGTATGTACATGTAGATAAATACTGTCACATTATTTTCAACCTTTTAGAACTACAAGTACACAATGTAGCAATGAGAAAAAAAGCTTTTCAAGTTGATATGAATGGTCAGTCAAATATTTTAAAATTTATTGTTGAAAGTATCTTAATTGCAAAAAAAAAAACCCACCAACATTTTCCTTTTTAAGATAGAATTTTGATTTGCATATTTGTCCTCTTATATTTTGTAAAATTATTAGGGGCACTGTCTTTTCAGGTGTATTGATCAAAAGCCTTTACTAAAAATCATCAAATAAAATTCTGGTTAATCTTTTAAATGGCGGTTTACACCATTCAGGAGTTATGCTTGGTAATTTAAATTCCCCAAGTTGATCCTTTCAACATCATAGCTGTTTTTTTTTAAATTAGAGTTTTACTTTTGATACTGAAAAAATATGAATGATACGAGTTGTTTCCCAAAGTTCTGCCTCATAAAAATTACTTCTTTTTATTCTCCCTCAGTATAAATTAATTTTATACATGTGTACAACATATTGACAGTAAGAAATTCATTAAACATCTTTCAACCTAAATTGACCATGGTAATTTTTTACCAATCTTTTTTGCGTTCTCTATTCAATTTTGATTTGGAAAAACCAGATTTATAGAGATGCTCAAACTATACTTATGAATGACAGGAGCATAGCTAGGTTTTATATGAAATGTAGGAAAAAATTGCAGCAGAGGGTCTTGGGGCTGGTTAAGGAGCCCTGGTAGGAAGTTCAGCATTTATAAATGCAAAATTTGCAACATATTGGATATATATTGTGGCTTTGGTCTGCATTTACAAATGAGTGGCTAGCCTACAGTTATGTTTTACGTATAAAAGATCGCCGAAAAATGAAATGATACTGCTAATAATTTTTTTTTATTCATAACTTGAAAAAATTATCAACACAAAATTATACACCGATTCACAAATGCTTGTTATGAATTTAAGGATAAAGAATTAGAGAAAATTGAAGCCCAGGAAAAGAGTGAATCATCAGAATATGAAACAGATGAAGAATGGGAAATGGAAAGAAAGAAGCATATGGCAAATTTAGAGAAAGAAAAGGTGCATTTTATTTTATTATCATCAAAGGTAAAATGTATGGTACATGACAGACAGATGGTGAACAACATGAGATATCAACAATTTAACACCTTGCACTGCAAATTTTAGGAAAACTAAAATCTTTTATCAAAATTGTAAATCTAGCAACACTACACTACATCATAATTTTTATACGACCGCAAAAAAATTTTGCGGTCGTATATTGGTATGACGTTGGCGTCGTCGTCGTCGTCGTCGTCGTCGTCGTCGTCGTCGTCCGGCGTCGTCGTCCGAATACACAATGGTTTTCGCACTCTAACTTTAGTTTAAGTGAATGGATCTCTATGAAATTTTACCATAAGGTTCAATACCACAATAGGAAGGTGGGGATTGATTTTGGGGGTTATGGTACCAACAGTTAAATAATTAGGGGCCAAAAAGGGGCCGAAAATAAGCATTTTTGTAACTTCCAGACATAACTTGTGTGTTATTGTATGGTTCTCTTTGACATTGTACTACAAGATTCCATATCACAAAGGGTCGATGCTGGGATTGATTTTGGGGTTAATTTCCTCGAAATTTTAGGAATAAGGGGCCAAAAGGGGGCAAAAAACAAGCATTTTTCTAGTTTCATGACAATAACTTGTGTGTTAGTGTATGGATCTTTCTGAAATTTTACTACAAGGTTCCATTTCACACAGGGAAAGCTGGAATTGAGTTTTGTGGTAATTGCCCAAAACGTTTAGTAATAAGGGGCCTAAAAAGGGGTGAAAAATAAGCATTTTTTAGTTTCTAGACAATAACTTGTGTTCAAGTGTATGGATGTCTCTAAAATTGTATTACAAGGTACCATACCACAAAGGCAAGGCTGTTATTGAGCTTGGTTTGGGGGGGAAGGGGGGGTGATGAATCATAAGGGGGGGGGGGGTCAAAAAAGGGGTAATTATTTTTTTTCCTTTTTTTTTGTTTAAAATTTACATTTTAAGTTAGTTTTTTTTATCATGAAGAGAATTTGGGGGGGGGGGGGTGATGAATCATAAGGGGGGAGGGGGGGTCCAAAAAGGGGTAATTATTTTTTTTCGTTTAAGGAATAAGGGGAAAAAAGGTTAAAAAACTAGGGTTTCCATTTTAATAGACAAATAATTGAGTAAAGAACATTATTTAAAAGCAGTGTAAGGTTGGTAATTCAAACTCATTTAAATATCTCACCTGCACTATGTTTGAATTATGTAAATTGGAAATTTGCCAATTATTTTAGTATAATAAACTTCATTGGAAATTTGCCAATATAAAATTTTGCTGATGAAGGTTTTTTGTTTACCTTTAGTCTGACTATGATGTCATTTTCTATTTTAATAGCCTTATGATGTAGTTAAATTTTTTTTAATACTTTTATGATGTATTTTAATGCGCTTTTATGGTTGCAAATTTATTGTTTTAGTATAATAAACTCCATTGGAAATTTACCAATAGTTTGTTTATTTTTAGCTATGACTATGATGTCATTTTCTATTTAATTTTAAGGTTACAAATTAATTTCAGTTTTAAATATTATTGTAAAATGTTTGCCCAAAACATTTATTAATAAGTGGCCAAAAAAGGGGGCAAAAATAAGCATTTTTTTAGTTTCCAGACATTAACTTGTGTTCAAGTGTATGGATTTCTCTGAAATTGTACTTAAAGGTACCATACCACAAAGGGAGTTGGTCAAAAAATTTTGGAGGGGTGGGGATTTTTTTTCCTTTTTTTTTTCTTTAAAATTTTCCATTTTAAGTTGGTTAATTCTGATCACAAAGAGAAATTTGGAATTGAGTTTGGGGGATAATTGCTCAAATGTTTAGGAATAAGGGGCTAAAAAAAGGGTTAAAAATAAGCATTTTTTTTTAGTTTCCAACAATTAATTGTGTTTAAGTAATTGGATCTCTGTGAAATTGTACTGCAAGGTACCATACCACAAACTGAAGGCTGGGATTGAGTTTGGGGGGGCGTGATGTGTGAAAATTTTCCACTTAAAGTTGGTTAATTATTTCTGATTTAGATATAAAAGCAAATAATAATGATGTGGTTTGATTTTATCAAAAACTTAAATTGAAGTTATGTATATCGTAATTTAGGTTACATTGGAATTTAAGAATTGGCTTTGGGGTAGGGTTATGGCTCAAACCTTTAAATAATAAGGGAAAAAAAGGTGAAAAAACAAGGGTTTCCAGGTTAATAGACAAATAAGTACAAAACATTATTTAAAAGCAGTGTAAGGTTGGTAATTCAAACTCATTTAAATATCTCACTTACACTGCTTTTAAATTATGTAAATTGGAAATTTGCCAATAACTTTATTGTTAATAAATGCATTGGAAATTTGCCAACAATTTTAGTATAATAAACTTCATTGGAAATTTGCCAATATAAAATTTTGCTGATGAAGGTTTTTTGTTTACCTTTAGCCTTGACTATGAAGTCATTTTCTATTTTTATAGCCTTATGATGTAGTTGAATTATTTAATACTTTTATGATGTGTTTAAATGGGGTTTTATGGTTGCAAATTTATTGTTTTAGTTTAATAAACTCCATTTAAAATTTGGTAATAAAAAAAATTTTTGTTTATTTTTAGCTATGATTATGATGTCATTTTCTATTTTACTTTTATGGTTGCAAAGAAATTTTTATTTTTAGATATTACTGTTAAATGATGCTGATTAAGGTTTTTGCTATGTTTAGCCATGACTCTGATGTCATTTTCTATTTTAATATCTGTCATGATGTATTTAAATGGGCTTTTATGGTTACAAAGGAATTTTATTTTTATTAGATATTACTGTAAAATGTTGCTGATTAAGGATTTTGTTTATTTTTAGCCATGACTATGATGTCATTTTCTATTTTAATACCTTTATTATGTAATTTCCATTTTTAGATATTACTGTTAAATGATGCTGATTGAGGGTTTGAATGCTGGGATTGATTTTGGGGGTAATTGCCTCCAAATTTTAGGAATTAGGGGGCAAAAAACAAGCATTTTTCTAGTTTCATGACAATAACTTGTGTGTAAGTGTATGGATATTTATGAAATTGTACTACAAGGTTCCATATCACAAAGGGAAAGCTGGAATTGAGTTTGGGGGTACTTGCCGAAAACGTTTAGGAATAAGGGGCCAAAAATAAGCATTTTTCTAGTTTCCAGACAATAACTTGTGTTCAAGTGTATGGATCTCTCTGAAATTGTACTGCAAGGTACCATACCACAAAGGGAAGGCTGGGATTGTTTTTGGGGGTAATTGTCTCAAAATGTGAATTAGGGGCCATAAAGGGGCAAAAAACAAGCATTTTTCTAGTTTCATGACAATAACTTGTGTGTAAGTGTATGGATCTTTATGACATTGTACTACAAGGTTCCATATCACAAAGGGAAAGCTTGGTTTGAGTTTGGGGGTAATTGCCCTAAACTTTTAGGAATTTGGGGCCAAAAAGGTGCAAAAAAAACAAGCATTTTTCTAGTTTCCAGACAATAATTTGTGTTCAAGTGTATGGATCTCTCTGAAATTGTACTGCAAGGTACCATACCACAAAGGGAAGGCTGGGATTGAGTTTGGGGGTGATGAATCATAAGGGGGTTTCAAAAAATTTGGGGGGGGGGGATTTTTTTTTCCTTTTTTTTCTTTAAAATTTTCCATTTTAAATTGGTTATTTCTGATTTATATATAAAAGCAAATAATAATGATATGGTTTGAATAGGTAAATTAAAAAATTTTAAGTTCTTAGACTACTTTCATTCTGTGTGAGAAACCTATGCTGTGTCAAATATTTAATTACAATCCAAATTCAGTGCTGTATCAAGCTTGAATGTTGTGTCCATACTTGCCCCAACTGTTCAGGGTTCGACCTCTGCGGTCGTATCAAGCTGCGCCCCAGCGGAGCATTTTATTTATAATAAAAAAGGCAAGCACCTTTATTTTGTTCTTTTTATGATATATTACCATTGTTAAAGATTTAGCATCTTACATTACATAGATATTTCATAAGGATTCCATCATGTGGATTAGAAAGCAACAATCATGAAGTGTTTTACTGCGATGTTTTATGTCCCAATAGATTGCAATATCCTGCATATGCTCTCTGTGACAAAAAACAGTATAATATTAAAAAAAAACCATTCGAAAAGCTTGATTTTATTACTTCCTGGTTTTATGGCAAACTGGCTCTTGAAATGTAATTATAAGAATGGAATGTGTCTTGTTTGTTCTTTTGTAAGGTTGTAAAAATTTTTGACTATACACACAGTTGTAATATGAAGAGCTTCCATACTTCATTGCTTCATACAAAATGTGCTTTGGTCAACACTTTTACACACCTATAAAATTCCCAAAAGAAGCATTCAATCCTAAATGAAAACAAAAGTGCTATAGTCATAAAATGTTACAGAAAATAATGTAAAAAATGCATAAACATATTTGATCTCACTCACATAAAATATTAGACTTCTCTTTGATTGTACAACTTGTTTAATTTTATGATATGTATTCTAGGGAAATGATAATTTCAAAAGACAAGATTATGCACTGGCCATTGAAGCTTATACAAAGGCTATTGAACTTGATCCTACTAATGCAATAATGCCAGCAAACAGGGCTATGGCCTTACTGAAGCAAGAAAAGTAAGTCTTCTTCACTAACCTGGTAATTAGGTCATAGATTTAGAACATAAAAATTTAGCTAACTGCAAGTCTGGTAAGTTTATTAATTCATGGGCATCATGCAGGTAGATGTTTTAGACATTAAAGTTTATGAGATAATCTGGTGCTTTCATCTGTCCCTGATTTAAAGTTCTTTCTGGAACTTATGGGCCAGTCATGCTTAGAAGGCCTTCTCTAAAAATAGTAACCTAAAATAAAGGACAAGACAAGACATTGATTTCATAAAGTTTCTTCAATGTATATTAATTAAGCCTTTCAGAAAAATTATTGATGAAGTAGTCCTTTGACCTTTTAAAATAATATCAGATATGAATAAAAGGAGATAAGGGGTATATATCAGTGAGACAGCAACATAATGACAAAAATAATCAAAAGATGTCTAGCGGGCAACATACAGTAATAATAGACGTGTCTATACAATATATATCAATCTCTAAATCTTCCTGAGACTTTTAACAAATACATCCACTTCAACTATAAAAAGACATTAAATGGGAAAAATCCTGTATCCAATATCTTCAAGAGGAGATAATTTAACTTTTAGACCAAAACCAATAAGGGGAGATAATTGAAGCAAAAAGGTGGTATCAGTTTGTAAGTTTACAGTGCCTCAGGTTCTGTAATTGATTAAATCAATTTTCATTAAACTTAAGAAAAAAATAATTTCCTTTCTGAATTACAGCTTATGAATATTACAAACATCCAAATATTACCAAACTATGACTTTTGAAAAAGAACTTAAAAGATCCCATTAATCAAACTAAACCTGAATAATTATTAACACAAAGATTTTGTGTATTTTTCGGGTCTAAAAGCTACAGAAAAACATTGGCTGAATCTACGATTCAAAATATTCTGTACCCAAAAAATGTGCCAAGTTTTATATTAAATCCATAGAAACAACAATTTTCTAGGTCTGGGGTTGCAGCCAAAGTTGTCTATATGCTAAAATCTGGTTAAAATTATTAAAAAAATTGACCAAAATTGTTGTTACAATATAAATAATGCATAATTATTGAGACACAACTTCATAATTAATATTTTCATAAGCAACAGAGAATTTATTTTGTATTACTAGTTGTATTACAACTATGTTTCAGTAAAAAATTATAGTACTTTGGCTAGATTACAAAAAAAGAAAAATCATAGGACCAATTTTGCCTTTCTAGAACCTTCTCACTTAACTTTTGTGCGGCTGAGATGTGGCAGAACAAGTTACCAAGTATGGGTTTGCCACTTCCTTATAACACACATGTACAGATAATCAAACCTAATTCATTGCCCTCTGTTTTCCCAGTAGTTACCTTGATTGACTAGATTGCCTTTAGTATTTTTTGTTTACATTTCTGTTCTACAGGATGAACCAGTAATTATTTAAACATAAACTTATTTACTCCAGATATGGAGCTGCTGAAGCTGATTGTCTGCAAGCCCTAAGTCTTGACCCTTTGTATGTTAAGGCTTACCTGCGACTTGGTGCAGCAAGGTTTGAACTAAAGAAACTTGACACTGCAAAAGATGCATTTGAGAAAGCTTTAAGATTAGAACCTCAAAATAAAACTGCACAGAAAGAATTAGAAAGAATTGAAAAGGTATTTTACAAAATATTTTAAATACATACATGAGAGTCTAAATAGACTACCAACCAGCAAATTAAAAAGGTTTACATGATTGTTTAGAATTGACAATCCTCCACAAACATGAAAAAGTATAAAAGCTGCCCAAGTTTTTAGATTATATATATATTTGTATGTATGTATGTGTTGCAATGTATCAGTTTATGCAAAAATGCCAGATGAGCAATACACGTTCCTTTGAGATTCTAATATGGATTGAACAATCTTAAAATGCATAGAAAATACCAGAACACTTCTATCCAGGCATTACCATCTGCATGGCCTATAGATTTAGATGTTCTTATATTGTCATAATTGTTTTTTAATCTACTACTATATTGTGAATGATTATGTATGTGCTTAATTACCCTTTTAACTCATTTTAATGCCTGTTTTGAGGTGTTAAGTTTATATGATAAAGAATTTCAAAATTCAGGTCAACTACTTACATGGGGGAAATCCCCCATAAATCTTGAAGGTGGGCAGGTATGTGAAGTTATGCAAGTTGCATTGATATAATTACAAAATCTTATGTAAAAATCTTGAAGTAGAAAAAAGGTCAGTTATATTTTAATTAAATGAATTTATTTTTTCAAGGAGTTAACAAAAGATAAAATGGTAGAACAAAAAGATATGACAAAGTCTCCTGATGAAGGATTAGTAAAACCAATCACAAAACCGTCAGATCAAAAATCAAAGGTAAAATATTAAGTTTAGATATACAATATTTAGTTTTATGAATATTTAAGAACCTGTTTCAAAAGACAATTCTTTGGTAGAAGTAAAGATAAAAAAAAAAAAAATTATTTGTATTTTTATTTTTATTTGACCTTATAAGTGTCTATCTAGTATGAGGCAGAGGATAAGAACAATTATAACTGGAGTGCTTATCATGTACTTTAATTGTTGAAAACTAATTTTCCTGTCGAACAATTTCCAGAATCCAAGTTCTTTTTATGCCCCACCTAGGGGCGTTATGTTTTTCGGTCTGTGCGTCCGTTTGTTATTCATTCGTTCGTCCGTCCCTCTGTCCCGCTTCAGGTTAAAGTTTTTGGTCAAGGTAGTTTTTGATGAAGTTGAAGTCCAATCAACTTAAAACTTAGTACACATGTTCCCTATGATCCTATGATATGATCTTTCTAATTTTAATGCCCAATTAAAGTTTTGACTCCAATTTCAAGGTCCACTGAATATAGAAAATGGTAGTGTGAGTGGGGCATCCGTGTACTATGGACACATTCTTGTTGTAAAAATATCTTTGCTCTGTTACAATTTTGGGAAAGGAAAATATAATTTACAGTTAATACAGGAGCACTTACAGAGGCATTGCTAGGCATTGAACAAAGTGGAAACATTAATATGAAAATATGGACCTAAGGCAATTCCTTCTCATTATCTTCATGCTGTATTCACCTTAAAATCTCAATACTGTCTGAATGTCTTTAGATTTTTTTACGCCGTAGCGGAGGGGCATTAAGTTTTACCCTTGTCCGTCTGTACGTACGTACGTACATCTCAAAATTGGTTTCCGTTCTCTAACTTGAGTTTGCCTCAACCAAATGTTATGAAACTTATACACAATGCTTATTACCATAAAACACAGATCAAGTTCGAATTTTGGTGGCGTCACTTTAACCGTTCTAGAGTTACGCCCCTTTATAAATGGAAAAAGTGCAAAATTTTTATTTTCTTCTGAATATCAAGTAATTTTTGTCGAGCCTGCGACTTTTGTCGCAGAAAGCTCGACATAGGGATAGCGATCCGGCGGCGGCGGCGGCTACGGCGGCGGCGGCGGCGTTAGCTAACTTCTTAAAAGCTTTATATTTTAGAAGATGGAAGACCTGGATGCTTCATACTTTGTATATGGATGCCTCATGTTACGAAGTTTCCGTCAGTCACATGTCCAATGTCCTTGACCTCATTTCCATGGTTCAGTGACTACTTGAAAAAAAAGTTCAGATTTTTTGTAATGTTAAATTCTCTCTTATTATAAGTAATAGGATTACTATATTTGGTATGTGCGTACCTTGCAAGGTCCTCATGCCCGTCAGACAGTTTTCACTTGACCTCGACCTCATTTCATGGATCAGTGAACAAGGTTAAGTTTTCGTGGTCAAGTCCATATCTCAGATACTATAAGCAATAGGTCTAGTATATTCGGTGTATGGAAGGACTGTAAGGTGTACATGTCCAACTGGCAGGTGTCCTCTGACCTTGACCTCATTTTCATGGTTCAGTGGTTATAGTTAAGTTTTTGTGTTTTGGTCTGTTTTTCTTATACTGTATGCAATAGGTCTACTATATTTGGTGTATGGAATGATTGTAAGGTGTACATGTCTAGCTGGCAGGTGTCATCTGACCTTGACCTCATTTTCATGGTTCAGTGGTCAAAGTTAAGTTTTTGAGTTTTGGTCTTTTTTTCTAATACTATATGCAATAGTTCAACTATATTTGGTGTATGGAAATATTTTATGATCTATATGTCAGTCACGCAGGTTTTATTTGACCTTGACCTCATTTTCAAGGTTCATTGCTCAGTGTTAAGTTTTTGTGTTTTCGTCTGTTTTTCTTAAACTATAAGCAATAGGTCAACTTTATTTGTTGTATGGAAGAATTGTTAGCTGTACATGCCTGCCTAGCATGGTTCATCTGACCTTGACCTCATTTTCATGGTTCATTGGTCAATGTTTAGTTTACTTGGTTAATGTTAAGTTTATGTGACAGTTGTAATAAAGCTTTATATTTAGGACTATCAACATAATATCAATGATTAGTAAAGAAGGCGAGACATTTCAGCGTGTGCACTCTTGTTAAAATTGGAGTTATCTTCCTTTGTCCATGATTATAGTTGAATCAACTACAATCAATGCTTTATACAATGCAATGTTTAATTTTGACTTCCACTGATAAATTACAGATCAAGTTGAATTTGGGTAGTGTCACTTTAACCATTATTGAGGTATGCCCCTTTATAAATCGAAAGATTGCAAAATTTTTAGTTTCCATTCTGTAACTTAAGTTTGCCCCAACCAAACATTATGAAACCTATACACAATATTCATTACCACAAAACTAAGATCAAGTACAAATTTTTTGTTTCCTTTTTCTAACTTAAGTTTGCCTCAACCAAACGTTATGAAACTTATACACAATGCTTATTACTACATAATACAGATTAAGTACGAAATTTGGTGGTGACACTTTTACCATTCTTGAGTTATGTCCCTTTATAAACATAAAAATTGCTGAACTTTTCATTTCCGTTCTCTAACTTTAGTTTGTCTCAACCAAATGTTATAAAACTTATACACAACCATTCTAGAGTTATGCGTGTTTACACATAGAAAAATTGATGAATTTTTAGTTTCTGTTCTCTACTTAAGTTAGCCTCAACCAAATGTTATGAGACTTACACACAATGCTTATTACCACAAAACTCAGATCAAGTTCAAATTTGGGTAGCGTCACTATTACCGTTCTTCAGTTATGTCCCTTTATAACTATATGATATACAAGCGGGAGCATCATCTGTGTCCACATGTGGACACTATCCACATTTATTTTTTCTTTGTTTCATTCTTTTTTCTTTTCTTTCTTTCTTTCTTTTCTTTCTTTCTTTCTTTCTTTTCTTTTTTTTGGAGGAGGGGGTGATATTATAGCATGTTACCTTTGTGTCTGTGCAATGTATATATACCACTGATTAATTTAGTTTTGTATTGAATAATTAGGGAAGATGGTTAGATAATGTAGAAAGGAAGTTTGTCAGAAAAAAAGAAACAGCACAAAATGGGTTATATAGGGGAAACTTAATGTTTCTTTATTTTGGAGTCATTAAAGGATAGAATTTGTTAAAATTCAATGAAAGAATTGCTTTTCATAAATACATCTGAAATATCAAATAAAAATAGGGGGTCACAGACCTTATTTTCTGGAAAAAAATCCAAAAACACAAATTGTCCTATCAAATTCAATATAATTATCTGCCCTTGATTTGTAAAGGATTTTTTTCTGAAATTTTTAAATACACTTAACAGAACTTATTTTTTTTTATAGTTTAATCTTAAAATACCAAGTTTTAGATGTGTCTGTTGTATATTGAATGATACTTGGTAAAATATTTTTAAACCAAAAAAGTATTTTTGCAACATTCCCAGAAGGGATGCTCAGAAAAAGACACCTGATCTACCTTAAATATTTGATGTTTGATTTTACAGAAACCTTTAGTTAGAATACAGATTGAAGAAATTGGAGGTGAAGATGACACTCATAGGCGTGCAGCAATTGAGGAAGTAGAAAAATCCCAGAGTGAAGCTAAAAAGCAAATAACTTCACAAGACAATAAAATGTTTGAGAAATTTACAAGTAGTACTGGTCCCTTAAAAAGTACTGAAAATCATAGAAATAGTGACAAAACTTCTACAAATATTAAAGAAAGTGTGAAAACTTTAAGCAAAGATAGCAGTATTAAATTAGACTTGAAAGATGTAACCAAAAGTATTCCAGATGAATCAAAATCTGTATCACCTAGAAGTATGCCTGTACCTCAATCATCTTTTCAGTTTCAGACAGATTATAAAGAACTAAAGAGTGACCTGAGGTCATTCTATGTATATCTTAAAGTAAGCATATTTGTTTCTTTCTATTATATTCAATTCATGTATAGATTATCTGGTTTTCTAGACATTGATATAAAAATATCAGCTGTGAGCCACAGTGTGAACCTTTTTGTCATGTGAGCATAGTGAGCAAGCAAAAAAAAGCTTCAGATTGTGTCAACCGGCTCATATTTTACAATATCTGTATGCAGAAAACCAGATCAACTGTTTAATGTGTCATTTCTAGCCTTTTTAATATCCCATAGAAAGCTTTACATTTGACAAAAGTAAGCTTGATAATGTCACCTCACACATTGTGACGTGGCTGATAGCTTCTCCTCAGACATTAAGTCCTTCTCATGTCTCAAGGCCTTGATACGATAATTTAGAATTAACTGAGCAAGGTGATATATGGAAAGGGATTATAGATTAATTGACATCAATATATGTCAATCTCTTTGGTGAGAGAGTGAACCAGCAAAAAAGCCTCACATTGTGTTGAGCAGCTTATATTTTATGATATATATATGTAGAAAACCCAATCTTCTGTTTATTAGTCTATTACTGCTCTTTTCCCCTTCCTTTAAACAGTTTTACGCATAACTTCTCCTCTGATATTGTGACGTCGCTGATAATGTCTGCTCACTTGTCAAACCCTTGATATGAAAATTACAGAGCGACTGACCAGGGTGATATAGGTGAAGGGAAGGATGATAATACACATTACACAGCACATGAAATATGTTTGTTTAATGCCACTTCTACAATAAAAAAGCATTGTTTTCTAACAAATATCTTGATAATACCATGAATTCTATCATCATTGTTGTTATTTGATAAAGTTCTAGTTTTGTGTTATTGTCGAGCCTGCGACTTTTGTCGCAGAAAGCTAGACATAGGGATAGTGATCCGGCGGCTACGTTAGCTAACTTCTTAAAAGCTTTATATTTTAGAAGGTGGAAGACCAGGATGCTTCATACTTTGTATATAGATGCCTCATGTTACGAAGTTTCCGTCAGTCACATGTCCAATGTCCTTGACCTCATTTTCATGGTTCAGTGCCTACTTGAAAAAAAAGTTCAGATTTTTTGGAATGTTAAATTCTCTCTTATTATAAGTAACAGGATAACTATATTTGGTATTTGCGTACCTTGCAAGGTCCTCATGCCCGTCAGATAGTTTTCACTTAACCTCGACCTCATTTCATGGATCAGTGAACAAGGTTAAGTTTTCGTGGTCAAGTCCATATCTGAGATACTATAAGCAATAGGTCTACTATATTTGGTGTATGTAATGATAGTAAGGGGTACATGTCAAACTGGCAGGTGTCATCTGACCTTGACCTCATTTTCATGGTTCAGTGGTCATAGTTAAGTTTTTGTGTTTTGGTCTGTTTTTCTAATACTGTTTGCAATAGGTCAACTGTATTTGGTGTATGGAAATGTTGTACGATGTTCATGTCTGTCTGGCTAGTTTTATTTGACCTTGACCTCATTTTTACGGTTCATTGCTCAATGTTAAGTTTTTGTGTTTTGGTTTGTTTTTCTAATACTGTATGCAGTAGGTCAACTATATTTGGTGTATGGAAATATTTAATGATGAATATGTCAGTCTGGCAGGTTTAATTTGACCTTGACCTCATTTTCATGGTTCATTGCTTATGTTAAGTTTTTGTGTTTTGGTCTGTTTTTCTTACACTTGAAGCAACAGGTCAACTATATTTGGTGTATGGAATGATTGTAAGGTGTACATGTCTAGCTGGCAGGTGTCATTTGGCCTTGACCTCATTTTCATGGTTCAGTGGTCAAAGTTGAGATTTTGAGTTTTGTTCTTTTTTTCTAATACTATATGCAATAGGTCAACTATATTTGGTGTATGGAAATATTTTATGATCTTTATGTCAGTCTTGCAGTTTTTATTTGACCTTGACCTCATTTTCACAGTTCATTGCTCAGTGTTAAGTTTTTGTGTTTTGGTCTGTTTTTCTTAAACTATAAGCAATAGGTCAACTATATTTGTTGTATGGAAGAATTGTTAGCTGTACATGCCTGCCTGGCATGGTTCATCTGACCTTGACCTCATTTTCATGGTTCATTGGTCAATGTTTAGTTTTCTTGGTTAATGTTAAGTTTATGTGACAGTTGTAAGAAAGCTTTATATTTAGGACTATCAACATAATATCAATGATTAGAAAAGAAGGCGAGACATTTCAGCGTGTGCACTCTTGTGCTACAAAGGACAGTAATTGAAGGTTATTTTAGTCTGTAATTTATATGAGTGTAACATTGTCTCAAATATTATATCAAGAACATTTGTGACAGTTGTTATTGAATACTTGACCTAATTGGTTTAATCAGTGCCAGCTACAAATTGCTGTTAAAAAACCCTTGCAACAATTGTGTATTTCATAGATGACCTGTTGCAAGGTAAAATTTCTCCCCCTATCAAACAAACCCTCCTTTAATTATGGCAGTCCAAATTTCCTACATTTCCATCAAGGTCGACTAACTTTTCAGAGCTAGCAATAACACTTACAGTTAATTTGTTCTTGCCCAATATGCATAGAATATTTGTCACTGGACATTTAACAATTAAAAACCAATCAATCAAAAGCACATGGCAGAAATTGCATTTAAAAAAAACATCTAAAAGGAAACAAGTGTAGGTCAATATGACTTCAAAAATTGAGAAAACACTTTTTAGGATCTACTGAGAAGACAATCATTCACAATATTTAATAATGAATCTAAGGATCTAACAATCATATAGAATTGTTCTGGTCTTTTTAAGAATGACTATAAGCAGTATAAGGTGCTCCAATCATCTCTTATCACATATATGTATATACAAATTAAATCATTAACATTCAGCTTTATTCAGTATAAGATGTATAAAATACTTGCAGTTCTGATCATTATTTGTAAAATGTTTTTCATTAAGATCAGTATTTCTGTAGAAGATTTCTGAAATTGACATAATGTAAACTTTCCATTTTTGTTGAGCCTGCGACTTTTGTCGCAGAAAGCTTGACATAGGGATAGTGATCCGGTGGTGGGGGCGGCGTTAGCTTACTTCTTAAAAGCTTTGTATTTTAGAAGTTGGAAGACCTGGATGCTTCATACTTTGTATATAGATGCCATAAATTTTTTGTAATGTTAATTTATCTCTTATAATGAGTAATAGGATAACTATATTTGGTATGTGCGTACCTTGCAAGGTCCTTATGCCTGTCAGACAGTTTTCATTTGACCTCCACCTCATTTCATGGATCAGTGAACAAGGTTAAGTTTTGGTGATCAAGTCCATATCTCAGATACTAGAAGCAATAGGTCTAGCATATTCGGTGTATGGAAGGACTGTAAGGTGTACATGTCCAACTGGCAGGTGTCATTTGACCTTGACCTCATTTTCATGGTTCAGTGGTCAATGTTAAATTTTTGAGTTTTGGTCTTTTTTTCTAATACTATATGCAATAGGTCAACTATATTTTGTGTATGGAAATATTTTATATATATGTCAGTCTGGCCGGTTTTATTGAACCTTGACCTCATTTTCACGGTTCATAGCTCAGTGTAAAGTTTTTGTATTTTTGTCTGTTTTTCTATTACTTTAAGCAATAGGTCAACTATATTTGTTGTATGGAAGGATTGCAAGATGTACATGTCTGCCTGGCATGGTTCATCTGACCTTGACCTCATTTTCATGGTTCATTTGTCAATGTTTGGTTTTCTTGGTTAAGTCTGTTTCTTAGAAACTATAAGCAATAGGTCAACTATATTTAGTGTATTGAATGATTGTAAGGTGTACATGTATTTCTTGTTTGGTTTATATGATCTTGACCTCATTCTCTTGGATCATGTTAAGTTTATGTGATAGTTGTAGTAAAGCTTTTTATTTAGAACTATCAACATAATATCAATGATTAGTAAAGAAGGCGAGACATTTCAGCGTGTGCACTCTTGTTTTATTTTTTTGTGAAGCTATGCTTGTTGTAGGCTATTCATATTGTAATTAGGTTTTCCTTTCATTTGGGGGGGGGGGGGGGGGTTACATATCACATCTAGTTCTTTTTGACCAGCATAGATTGGAGTTATGAGTACTGTAGATAATTAATGACATGATTCATCAAATAGTTCTAAATCACTATTTTTTTTATGTGACCTCAAATACACATAACATTACAAATGCCCAGTTTCAAACATATCTTCTGATAGAAAAGTATTAAACATAAGCATGAATTCATTCCAGTCTGAAGAAATTTAATATCAGGATACATTTAAATAGTATTGTATGCTGCTGCCAGTTAGATTTTGTTTTACATTAAGTACGGACCATTGATCAGAGAAATTTTTACATTTTGTATTTTTTATTTTAGAAAATTAATCCAGAAGACTATCCAAAGCTGTTTGGTCAGTTCTTAGATGCAGAAATAGTACTCAACATGCTCACTGTGTTCAAAAATTTCTTTATTCCGTAAGTTAGTAAACAGTGCTTGCTAAGTTATGGGTGATGTATTTATAAGTATGTTCTGTTCTTGATAATATGTTATGTTTACATTTTAATAACCATTAAAGGGGCATTAGCTACGAGATATAGAAAAAAATAAAATATTATTTTTTTTTTGTTCAATCATTAATGAAAGAGAAATAGTGATATACTAATTCACTTTTAGCAGCCACTTTGGTTCAGTTTTGTCAAAATAAGCAAAGAAACATAGCTAATTCGACCTCATTAAATCTGTATTCATGTGAACTGCAATTGAACCCCTAGCTTGAGATCGGTTACGCATGAACTAGGCGTGTTCAGCTATTAATAAGAAAAGAATTTTCAACATTGAAAGTGAAACGATGGTAAACCATTTGTTTGACTGATTCGATCTACAAAAAGTCATTCTTATACAGGTAAAAATGATTATTAACATATTTTTTAAACCTATAATATGAAATCAAACAGACCTGGAAAAGTCCGATTGCAGGAGTTCACTATCTATTTATATCTATGTTTATGTTTATATTGGGTTATATGACCGTTGGCAGTCTTCGGAGATCATCTCAATGGTTAATGACTAAAATACACATGAAATGCGGATACATATTATCGAGTCCGTGCATTGTAAATTGTTTAGTTTAGACTTTTTATTATTTGGATATATGTTTAAGTATGTTATAGATCAAATATGAGGATTTGAGTCAAATCGGTGAACATGAATTTGATAGCTAATGCCCCTTTAAACCAGCTTTTGAAGCTTGTGTTTCTATCAGCATAGATAATCCTAGAAAAGATTGATTGATTGATTGTTGGTTGCTTAACGTCTATCCTAGAAAAGAAAGGTATTCAGAAATTCACATCAGGTCATCATGCATAACCCAGAATTTTGAATTAGAGGTCAGACAAATATGTTACTATGTTATAATAATCTGAATCATAGCATAACTTGTATCAAAACATTTGAAATTCCCCTCTTACATACTTACCAACATATAAAGGAGAATACAAATTTAAAGGGCCTCAGTGGAAGAATGGTCTAACTATTTATCACTTGCCTGTCAACACTGAGTTTGTGAGTTCGAATCCCACATGTGGCAGGTGCTCTTGACTCCAATCTTTATTGGCTAGGATTGTCAGTTTTCCTGCTGAAGGTGGGTGGTTCTCACCGGGCACTCAGGCTGCTTCCACCAATAAAAACTGACCGCCACGAAATAGCACAATAGTGCTGAAAGTGGCGTTAAACACTAATCAGTCAATCAGTCAATCTCAATATGTAAAGGACCTTAAGAGTGGACACACAGCAAAGCCTAGGAGGGGTCAACCCCCATCCCCACTTGGACTGAAAGCAATTTTAAGCTATTTGAGGGTGTTTTCAGACAGCAAAATATCAATTCTTGGTCATATCTCTTCAGAAGACCTTAGCATTTTTCAATCCACTGTTTGGGAAAAATAGTACACAAAAATTTTTTGTTATGAATTAGGCGATACCTGTGGTTCTTGTGAAATCAGGAGCATTGCCATGTATGGTCTTATCCAGAATTGAAGAAACCAGAACAATAAAGTCTCCTTTTTAATGATGATTGTATTAAAATCCTGAATAATTGAATGACTTAATAATGAGTGATCAAGTTTTATGATTGATTGATTGTGATTAAAAACCACTTTCAAAACTTTTTAGGACGCCAGATAACTAGGAGAAAACAACCATCTTTAATTAGGTTGACTAGCAATCCTAGTCAATTAAGATCAGAGTCAAATACACCTTGCCGTGAATGGGGTTTTAAACTTGCAACCTCAGCTTTGACTGGCTAGTGATCACTAGATTAAATACCGCTATCTTGACCACTTGGCCATCCAGGCCAAAAATATGGTGGCATTAACATATGATACGAATTAAAAAAAAATTGATGATAATTATCTACCCGTATTTATTCATGTTATAGTACAAAATAATGTAAATTTAATTCTTTTGTGTTTACAGAACCATTTTGTCTATTTTACCTAATAGTGGCTAACTGAAATGGCACACCTTGACCAAACTTTTGAAGAATATACGTTCAAAATTATTGAAGATTAATGTATCACCTTAAATATTGACTTTTGCATCTATTTGCAGGGCAGATGAAGACTTTTACACATGTATGTGTCACTTAGCTAAAGTGAAGCGATTTAATATGACAGTTATGTTCTTTTCAAAGAAGGAAAAGTCAGGTATGAATTGTTACTTATTCATGCATCAGAAACTATTCAGTCATTATTTAATATTTCTTGCAAGTGGTCAATTAAACTTTAAATTTAGCAAGAGATACATATTTTTTCTGATGTTGAAATGAAAACTGCTTTGGGTATAGTTTATTTAAATCTTCAATAGATTAAGTCAGCTGAATGAAGCTATGTTACATATGGCTAAGCAATAATAAATTTTACATCTTAAAAGTATTGGAACTGGTTTTTATAAATTTAAAAATTCAACTGACTAGTCATGGTAATTGCAAGAAAATTGATTAACATGTATTCTTGGTTTCTGCTGTATTTTCTGAGACCTCGATTTTATATGGAAGATTTTAAGTATATTAAGGGCAGATGTATAAGAAATTATTTACAACCTTATTGTATGAAAGGTCTTTATTTTTTTTTGTGTAGATCATTGGGTTCAATAGCTTGAAGAGTGTCGTAATGAGGGGGGTATTTGCACAGATGAACGGGTAATAGAAATGGGCATTTCATGATGAATGAAAAATTTAAATATAGCTTACTCAAAGCTTTTTTACCCATTTGCATGAAACACAGTGAAAAAAGAGCTTCATATGAAATAGTGATTGCAAAACATGTGCACAAAAAATAACCCTTTACCATCCACTGGAAACCAAAGACATAATATTGTTATATTCTACTTTTCCAATAAATGTGCAGCAAAAAAATTCTGCATATAAAATAATAATTGCAAACATGTAGCACAAAAAAAAATCCTTTACCATCCACTAGAAACCAAAGACTTAATATTGTTATATGCTAGTTTTCCAATAAATGTGCAGCATATTTAGAGAGAGAGATAGAGAGCTAAAATTGATGCATTCATAAAATAATATGTTGTATAAGTTCAAATTTATTGACATGTCTTTGTTCATTTAGCTACCCAGAATTAACATACAGAATCAGAAAAATTCAACATAGTAAAATCACAGTTTGAAATAGATCTATCTATTTAAAAGATGTATTTTTCCTTGTTGTTGATAAATTATAATGTATATTTTCATGCATGACATATAAGTTGTCAGTTTATAGGACAATGCAATTCACAACCTCTATACTTATCTATGATTATTTGCCTGCAAACATTCATGTTTACATAAACAAAAATATTTATCATTACAGTGATCAGTGAATTGATTGGACATTTACAGAAAACAGAGAAAGTGACATCAACAGAACTACAAAAACTTAAGAAAATATATGAAATAAGCTGATGATTATTTATTATTGTATGTTTGGTGCATTAACATTCATTAAAGAGTAAAGGATTATTTTTAAATTAGCTCTGTAAAGGCCATGAAATATACCATGGAAATGGTTTATAAATAACATCATCTGAAGTCAGGTAGACTTTACTTTGGTTTTGTGAAGATAAATTAAGTGAGAAATCAGTTATCTGTCATCTTTTAACTTTGCATATACCTTAATACCAGTCTGATGATGAGGTGATTAATCATGATACCCCTTGATGGGCCGACAGTCACCAAGTGTACATCTACTTGAGTAGCCAGTCATGTGATTTAAATGATACATTGTGGTTGTTTATTTTCAGTTAATAAATTATGTGATTTTGTGAAAACTAAGGTTGCAGATTTCAGTCAAAGTTGAAATCAGACAGTTTCAGCTGCATTCTATAGACTCTTTTGTAAATTGTATTGCTCCATACTGTTTTTTTTTTTTTTATGATTGATTGATTGGTGTTTAACGCCCATTTCAACACTACTTGCTATTTTGTGGCGATAAGTTTTTATTTGTGGAGGAAGCTTGAGTGCCGGTAGAGAACCATCGACCTTCGGTAGGAAAACTAACAATCCTAGTCAATTGAGATTGAAGTTTTTTATGCCCTGTCTCTAAGTAACCAGGGCATATATTGTTAGCAATGTCCATCCTTCCTTCATTCTGAAAACAAACAGTTGTCAACCTTTTTTTGTGTTATTCCTACACATATAAAGCTGAGGACTTACAGATTCAGTTTTTTTTTTTTTACTGTTGACACACTTTTGCGGCGTTATAGCCCTTGGACTATTAAAAAAAATTTCCTGAAAATATTACATGTTCAGACAATTTTTTTGTAATGCAGATCTGATGCTGATATTTGTAACATAAGTGTATAACATACAGATAGAGTTTCATTCTGGTTGACATCATCTTGGTGGAATTACAGATGACTTTTGTGATAAGACTGCAGGAGGGGGCAGTCATGTTGTACTGACACATAGTTTGTAGAGGGCTTCCTAGAGGGTAGGAATGCCCTTTATCGTCAAGCATCAAACATCTGGTTTGCAGCGTCAAATGAGTCTTAACTTTTTATTGTCACTTGTCAAATCTCATTTTGTAGCTACCGTTAGCGTCAAATGGAGTAAAATTTTATCGTTAACGTTATTTTTAACAAATATTTTACTGTCATTTGTCATGTGGGGTACCACATTCATACCCTCTTCCTAAGCTTTTCCTTTGGAACAAACCTGAAAAGGGTTTTCAAGAAATATATAGTATGTACTGAAATTTGTATCATACATTTTAGCTCACCTGACATGAAAGGTCATGTGAGATATTTCAATCTCTTGGCATCCTTTGTTTTCATCAATAAACTTTTCACATTTTCATTTTTTTTTCTGAAACCACTACAGCAAATATTAACCACAATTGGCAGGGATGAAAAGTCCTTTACAAATGATCTGCATTTAATTTGAAAAACTCAAAAGTTCAAAGGGTACCACTTTCTCAGTAGCCAGCTGCTTGGTACTTGCATTCTTTAAATGATATATGGTGTAATGATTTACTTTTTCAAATTGTGACTTGGATGGAGAGTTGTCTGATTGGCACTCATACCACATCTTCTTATATCTATTATAAATTTCATAAAAAATAATTCTTAACTTAGTTGACAACTCTATCAGGCAAAGATGACCATAGATGGTCTTGGAGGTTCTTTTTTACATGTTTTTGTTTCATCTGTCTTCCATAATGTTATGTGTATTTGACCTCTTAAAATGTTTGGTTTCTAGTTTACCCGATGACAGTTATACCAGAAACATGTTTCAAGCACAATGAAATTGGTATCTATCATATTGTTTACTCCCACAGGCAGCAGACATTCCACGAGGGTACAGTCTGCCCAGGTACCACAGTGCTTCTAAACTGATATGACCTGAATGATAATTTTTTGTATTGTAAATTATGTTAATAAATTAAATGTAAGGTTGCAAGTCCTTCAGGCAAAGATGAATCCATACAGTTTTTGTTGAGCCTGCGACTTCTGTCGCAGAAAGCTTGACATAGGTAACTCTCATTTTCATGGTTCAGTGACTACTTGAAAAAAAGTTAAGATTTTTTGTTATGTTAATTTCGCTCTTATAATGAGTTAAAGGATAACTATATTTGGTATGTGCGTACCTTGCAAGGTCCTCATGTCTGTCAGTTTTCAGTGAACAAGGTTAGGTTTTCGCGGTCAAGTCCGTATCTCAGATACTATAAGCAACAGGTCTACTATATTTGGTGTATGTAATGATTGTAAGGTGTACATGTCCAACTGCAGGTGTTATCTGACCTTGACCTCATTTTCATGGTTCAGTGGCAAAAGTTAAGTTTTTGTGTTTTGGTCTGTTTTTTTTTAATACTGTATACAATAGGTCAACTATATTTGGTGTATGGAAATATTTTACAATGTACCGGTACATGTCAGCCTATCAAGTTTTATTTGACCTTGACCTCATTTTCATGGTTTATTGCTCAATGTTAAGTTTTTGTGTTTTGGTCTGTTTTTCTAATACTGTATGCAATAGGTCAACTATATTTGGTGTATGGAAATATTTTACGATGTACATGTCAGTATGGCAGGTTTTATTTGACCTTTACCTCATTTTCATGGTTCATTGCTCAATGTTAAGTTTTTGTGTATTGGTCTGTTTTTCTTAAACTTTAGGCAATAGGTCAACTATATTTGGTGTACGGAATGATTGTAAGGTGTATATGTCTGTCTGGCAGGTATCATCTGACCTTCACCTCATTTTCATGGTTCATTGGTCAGTGTTCAGTTTTCCTGGTTAACTTTGTTTCTTAGATACTATAAGCAATAGGTCAACTATATTTGATGCATGGAATGATTTTAAGGTGTACATGTCTGTCTGGCAGGGTTCATCTGACCTTGACCTCATTTTCATGGTTCATTGGTCAATATATAATTTCCATGGTTTGGTCTGTTACTTTTATACTTTAAGCAATAGGTCATCTATATTTGGTGTATGGAATGATTGTATTAAAGGTGGACATGTAATTCTGGCTTGGTTTATGATGACCTTGACCTCATTGTCTTGGATCATAAATATTAATGTGATACTTGTAGTAAAACTTTATATTTAAGACTATAAACATAAAATCAATGGTCAGTATAGTAGGTGAGACATTTCAGGGTGTGCACTCTTGTTTCAGTCAGTCCCAGTTCCCACCCCCAGTTTTTGGTGGGGTTTGTGTTGCTCAGTCTTTAGTTTTCTATATTGTATTTTGTGTACTATTGTTTGTCTGTTTGTCTTTTTCTTTTCTAGCCATGGCTTTGTCAGTTTATTTTCGACTTACGAGTTTGAATGTCCCTTTGGTATCTTTCGCCTCTCTTTTACTGCTTTCAATCATTTTGTGTATTTGGCTTCCAAAAATGTTTGTGTAAGGCAGCTACTATTTAATTTTTATGTGGGGCTAGGATGAAAAATTGTGTCCTTCATTTTTTTTTAGTTGTAAAATCTCTCCTGCCTTTTTATTTTTACTCTATTCGGTCCTGTCTTTTTTTTTATTAGTTTATCCTGACTTTTTTTACATAAATTGTCATCCTGCCTTTCTTTTTGCAAAGTTTGCTCATCCTGCCTTTTTTTTTTACTCAGAATGCCTGTCCTGCCTTTTTTTCAAATTTCATCCTAGCCCCCCATAAAAATCAAATGGTAGCTCCCTAAAGTGTATTTCAAACACTAGAAAAACAAAGGATATGGGGTATCCATCCACGACACAAAATTAGTACATGCACAGAAAAAAACACACTAATAGCAAAGGAACAGCGCTTTTATTGCTGTTCTTCATCTAAAAAATAATAAGAAAATCTCACCTCACTGCAAGTCTAAGATGGCCCCTAGCATCAGTTTGAGCAGAATTCTTATAATTTATTCTAGAAATATATTTACACTAAAAATTTGGAATCATTATTTTCAAGAATTCTGTTTTACACCAAAAAAACAGTATTGTAGTAAAAAATCTTAAAAAGAATAAATGTTACTCCAGGATGAAATGTTAGTTGAGGTATGGAATTGTTTTCTTCTATACAGGACATTTTTGTCTATATATCCATGTCTCACCCTGAGATATGGAGCCACAATGATATAGTATAATGTTCTAGGGTGGCATTAAGTCTCTAAGACTCTTGGATGTGAAATGAAGGTCATGGTGACCTATACATTACTGAACTTTGTTGTACTATGTAAGACAGCTGCAATGGTATATCATAATTTCTGAATTAAATTGAGAAATGAAATGTTCCGAACCATAATTGTTTTTCATTTATTGTTGTAGTTTAAATACGGCCATTTGATTTCTCTTATGCTTTGGTTCACAAGTTCTCATCCTGGGGCCTTTATAGATGACTATACAGTATGGGTTTTGCTCATTGTTGAAGGCTGTATGGTGACCTGTCGTGCCTGTAATTGTTTATAACAACTGTTGTCTAATGGTCCTTAGGGATAGATGTCTCATTAACAGTCAAACCAGGGGCGGATCCAGCCATTTTTAAAAGGGGGGTTCCCAACCCAGGAAAAAGGGGGGTTCCAACAATATGTCCCCATTCAAATGCATTGATCGTCAAAAAAAAGGGGGGTTCCAACCCCCCCCCTCCCCCTGGATCAGTCACTGCATAATATATTTCCTCTTTTTTTAAATTCAACACAAAAATTTATTGACAAATTTTCGAGAAAACACTTAAAATGCATAGTTTGTGTTACTTTTTATTTACATTTTATACCTTAATAGACCTATTTCACAAAGGTTTAATTGACTGTAACTCTGGAAGTATAAATGCTTCATACCGGGTATATCTATTTTCAATATATTCAGATTTAAACAAGTTGTAAACACGGTAAATGCATACAAAATCTAATATATTGCCCAATTATGTATTAAGGTCAGTTTTGTTCTCATTTAAATGCGAATACGATAAGATCATGTAATTATAGTTTACTGGTATGAATACATGATTCAGAATAAATTATGTTGGAAAAAATACATCATTTAAATA